ATATTAGTGAAACCTATCAGTGATAGCATTTTTAAGCAAAATCTGTATGATTTTGTCAAATTGCATTTTCATTTTCGAATCAATCAAATACAAATTGGCTATGCTGTGACATATCTCATTCTTGCAAGTTGCAAGGTCCTTTCCAATTTGATCTGTACATAACATTTCATAAATGTCAATTTTATTAGTTGCTGATGAATAGATTTGTTTCAATTTCATACAGCCTTACAGGGGTTGTGTAGAAACAAATGCAATGATTACATCTAGAGTGCATGTACATGTATGATAATATATTTTCTCAGGGGGACAAAAAGAAAATCTTAATTTTGTTAGTTATATATTGCAGGGGAGCAAACAGGAAAGGGCCTTCTCAGATATGTCACAGAGTTAATACCAATCAATGCTGTTTTTTCAGAATACCACTCTTGAAAGTCACTACAGCACTGTAAGTTACACTAAAGTACTACAGAGTGGAAACAGTGCAAAGATTTCAGAGATTGAAATAATAAATTCTTAATGTGCAAGGACCCTGCAACTTCCCCTTATGCACCCGTCAACCAGAATCTTGAACCTACATGTGTACATGTACGCCCCTCAAGGGCCATCAAGCAATTTGATGTCAACTCAATGTCGAATCTCGGAATCTTGACATATTTTTGTTTGGCCAGAGTGAATCTTCACCATATTTTGTGTAAGAGAAGGTGAATACTTGCCTTTATTTTTTACCGGATGTTGTGAATCTTGAACAAATATTTCCCACATAAAATTGGACGAGCGTCAAGTAAACACATTTGCATATGTGAACGAGCGTTGAATGTCTTTGACTCCATAAGTTCAACATTTTAATAAACAGTGACGTGAAGCTACAAGTACCGTTAATGTGGTAATATTCGCAGTACTTTAATTTTTCACAGATCTTGCACTATAGTTGGTGTCCCAGGGTATCAAAACCCACAAATATATATGCACATTTTTAAATGCGTATTTTGAACGGGAACGGTGAGAGAAATGCATTACCGGTAAGACCTAGCTCACGTGTACATGTACGTAGGCGAGCGTATAAACCCTCGTTTAGGGCACATATCGTCGGTGGGGTGACAAAACCTTGTATCTCAAAAATCATGAATTTTCAGGAGAGCGAAAAACTTCCTGTCTCAACAAATTTAGTGCTGTGACACCGTCCTTTCTTTTTAAACTGGAATATTTATACATTTTTTAATGTCACTGTTGAAATACAGTAAAATAATTGTTTTTATATTTGAAAGTGAGTTACAAGGTTTTTGCGTTTATCTACATTGAGATACAAGTTTCTAGTTTTTATTCAAATTGAGATACAAATTCTTACTTTCAACTCTGAATGAGTTACGAGGATTTGGTTGAATAAGTTACGAGGATTTGAATACACTAACTTTGGTACTGTTAGGCCGTGTGTGAGTTACGAGGAAAAGGAATTAATGTACGTATCTTATGTTACGAGGTTTTGTCAGTGCAGCTTCAAAGGTGGTTAAACTTACGAGAATTAGTTTAAGGGTGTTTGTGTGGAATTTGTGAAAAAAACGAGTAGAAGGCATTCCATGGATTTATCAGGTGGTGTCATACTGTAGGCCATTGGGTACAAAATTATGCCAAAAAAAAATCAAAATCTCAAAAAATTGAGATACAAGGTTTTGTCACCCCACCGACGATATACAGTACATGAAAATGTATATATGCATCTTGTAAAATATATTATAACTTTTAAAAAGAAAGTGTATACAGAGTCAATGAAGACTAATGGAAGATAAATTATCAGAATTAATATTTCCCCTTAATTTACTCCACAAATCGGTGCCTTCAACTGCACCTCGCAGTAAAATAAAGGTCCTTCCCCGGGTGTTTTTTTTAACACGGACCTGGCTTGCTGCCTACAGAGTCGGCAAAAATAAAATAGGGGTGCGTCTTTAATGTACACAGAGATTTATGGTAAGAGTGAAGTTTGGAGGGGGGGGGGGTAGGTTCAAGTTTCTGGTTGACGGGTGCATAAATATAATGTAAGCACTTTATAATATACAATTACAGGCATGCACATTCTCAAACAATTCTGGATAGTGAATCTGGGCTAACTTGAGCTTTTATCATTATTACACAGCCTGTGCATAATCACTGGACATTCATGTTTATGTGTGTACTTACTGTAATATAAAACTGCACATGAATTAAGAAATGCAATACAAGTGAATAATTTTTGTTTTCAAAATTTACTGAATAAAACCAACCAAATAAATAAATAAGATCTGCCAATAAATTGTGTAGAAATTCTTGAAGAAATAACACCCAAGGAACAAGGAAGTCCAGATAAGGAGTGCGTATAGCACTACATACTCATGTAAATGTAAAACAATGATCTTACATGTACATAAAAATAGGTACATGTTTGTGTTTTTGGTTTAGTGGACATTCATTCTAACAAGATTGTAACGTTTCATGATGTGTTTATTATTATTTGTTTGCCAGCCGCATCTCCTTCATAATAAACAATCAATAATGACTTAAAGTCAAGAGTCTGTTTCTTTAAATATGCAAATGTTTGTTCCTCAGCATCTTTTTGCAGCAATTCCATAGCACAAAAACTAATAAATTGGAAACCTTCCTTAAACACTTGTACATTGTACATGCAGGTGGCTGCGATTTAGACCTACATGTACATGTATACTCTACATATCATGCACGTTTTTAATCGTGTGGTCACATATTTCTGTGTCTCAGCAACTGTCTTGATGATTCAGTCCTGCAAATTTAACATACTGATAGGAAAGCAAGCTCTTGTGAACGAGAACAATACAATAAGATTGCACATGTTTATTCAGTACTTGGCCCACTGGCCTACTAAACAATTGTCAGTTCACTGGTTGCTCTGTAGTCTGTACATACTACATGTACATGTACATGTAACCTGTGAGATACTAAGTAAAATAACCTGGACATCAATACAGACATTTGTGAATGTGGAAAGGCCTCCTATATAAAAAAAAATAGTGGATATCACATTATATACCTCTCATTAGTATGTTGTTTAAATTAAATCTAGTCCTCTGATTGGTTGAAATTGGAGTCGTGATTTTAACCATGCCCGTCAGGAAACAAACAATTGCAAATTGCCCATCACCCAGTCCCAGATGAAGGGCAATAGTTAATGAGAAAGATGCCTGTTGCTCTGGGTAACGGGCCGCATAAATACATTTTGCTGAGATCCCCATTAGTTTACGTGTTACAAATAGTTTCTTTGTGCGAGCTGGGATACAAAATACAGTGCAGCATGTGTGCGATTCCCGAATGATCGTAACATTCAGTCACCTTTCCAGCGAAGATATACAGACAACGTCTCAGATTTTCTGTGATTTTTAACCAATCTTTACTCAAGAAAAAGGATAAGCTACATGTAAGAATTCTTTGTAGATTTGTTTGTGAATTCGGTATAGACTGCTTTAATATTTGAAGGATACACTGTAGCTGTTTTTATACTGGCTCTCAGGGATGTTACATCCTGCTATGACCCTGAGGCGTGCCGAGGGGTCATAGCAGGATGTAACATCTCCTTGAGCCTATAGAAACAGCAAATTCAGCAACATGTAGGCATACGTTTGTACCTACATGTATAATGTTTCTTGAGAATTGAGATACCAATAACAAAAAAAATCAATATTTTCCTGCAATTTAGATGACCCTTGACCTACATGTACTTACCCCTACATACATGTAACTATAACCTAAAAATATATTCCTATGTTAATGAAATTACTTACAGCTGTACTTTCCTTTGTTTAAATTCACAATTCAACTCATCTTTAAGTTATTCCTATGAGGGCCTAGACACCTTTTTTTCTAAATGTTTATTTTCATGTTTCAAATCATAATGTACCACACAGACTACACCCATTTACAATACTGGATTGAAAAACAAAAAAACAATCCATTGGTATGTGATATACTGTTTTTTTTTGTGTGAATTGTGTGCAAGTGCCACTTGTTGCTGCCCTCCATGTGTTAGCATGGAAACGAGGAGAGTCATGTGACTAAAAACAAGAATCATTCACCAATTTTTGAGAGGGAGCGGAATTTTTACTTTTAACATCGGCCCTCAAGACTGGTTCATACAATTACAATGGCCTAGCAGGCCTGAAGTTGAACAATGCACATAATCTTCAAGTTAATTTGCCATTTCTTAGTCCAAACCACATGATAAAGTCAGATCAAATAAGGTTATAGCCAAGTCTAGCTGTGTAGATTAAGCCATTTTATTTTTGGAAGTGCAATTGTGCAATTAATGTCAGAAAATAAGAATTTGATTAAGAACACATGTAGAAAATCTACGACATGATCTCACGGAGGAACCAGCGAATGAAATATTTGAGTGGGGTCTAGAAGGAGAAGGCCTTTTTTCATTCGCCTTTTCCAAATACAAGAGAAAGGTCTAGACCAAGACCCCGTTTACAGTGACAAAAGGCCGGGCCAGGCCGCGGCCGAGACTACCTCCAGAGCAGGGCCACTCCAGCAAAGCATAGAGAGTCAATGCTAAAGCGTATTGAGCAGGGCCAAATGCGCGGCCAGTTTGGCATCGCATTTGGCCTTTTGCGCGTTTACAGTGCTAGGCTAGGCCTTTTGCTCACTGTAACAGGGGTCTAAGACTCTACTACTACTAGTACTAGACCTAGTTAAAATGTATATTCAGGCTATAGTCTAGATCTAGATCTTGTTTTCCATCTCCATGGAAATACTTTTTTTTAATTGTTGACCTCATTGCATATGAACATAGTCAACTCAAGTTCTGCTCTTGGGAATGGTCATTGAGTGATTGACAGTAGGCCTATATGTAATTGATGTTTTGTGAGAAAAAGATATGAATAATTTGTTATGATATTTATGATGTTGAGTGGCAGTGGCGACCCAATTAATGAGCATGGACAACGTTGAACCATCTTCCCATCTGAAAATGAAATTCCATTTAATTCTTTTCTTCTCACCTTTCAGCAAATTAAGTTGCTGAATCTCTGTGTTGTTACTCAACCGATACTGTGAAGAACCTTGTGACTTCTTTTGCTTCCCCTTGCGTAAAGATTTCTTGGCAAAGGGGTCTATCTTGTCGACTGCTGTTGACCCAGATGACATCGTGGCCCAACAAGATGACAAAATTGCACAATGTTCACAGCGGCAGCTCAAGGTGATGCATTGATGATTTAGAAATAATGTTTCTGGCAATGTTTATCAGTAATATGTTAACTGTTCTGTGTACTGATGTTTGAAATTTCACTTTAAAATCTAGCCTGAGACCTGCCCAGACTCAATTATTCTAGATCTATCAAGTATCAATTCAACAATTTTCCAGAAAATCCGACTCATCAATCAATCACTTTCTGAATTGAATTTCAAATGTGCAATTATAAAAAAATAATTCTTGGTCACAGATGCGTAATAACAAGGGTCACCAAGCTAAAACATATCGTGCTATGAATTGTTTTAAAAAGAGATTTAGAATGATACAAGTTCATCGACGTCTTCTGTTCTGGTTCTCCTTCCAAGTTCCACTTCCAACTTGATGAAATCGCCAAACATCCCCTGATCAATTTCGACTCAAATCCTCAGAATTTCGTCAAATTTCACCAACAACGAGCTCAAAATGTTACAGATAACTGTTCCCTATTACCATCATTGCTCTCCTTTCAAACTATTTCCTTCAAAATGGGCTGAATTGATAGTAAATAATCCTCCAAAAACATCCTCCGTAGCAAAGTCCTGTCAGAGTCGGCTTTCGTGTCATTCGTTCTTCTTCATCCGAATAGCACGTAGAATTAGCATTGGGTATACCCTACACCGGGTTCGCATAATCAGCATAGACTTTGCATGTGTTACGCTATGCAGCAAAGAGGGCCATCGCTGGTTTGGGTTGCTAGCCTAGCTCTGTGACCTACTGATTGGTCACGTGACCTTGTGAGTAACGTTTCATTGGCCACTTCCATCAGCCGCTGCTCAAAACCTAACATAAGGTACCCCGGAAGAGGACGCAATACCAAAATCTTCCAATATGTTTCGTTTCTTGGAGCTGTTGAATATACCCCGGAATATACAGTGTTTATCGTTCTCTTTGTTTACTCATAGGTGTTTTCTTCTGATATATCTTTCACAATAGTAACATTACCCAGAGTAATTGATGAAAATATAAAATATATATTACCAGACATTACCCCCCCCCCCCCTCTTGACGTTATATCCTGACTGATTATAGTACCAACGTAGAAGTAGAAGTAGAGAGAGAGAGAGAGAGAGAGAAAAGGGGGGAGAGAGAGAAAGAGAGGGAGGTGAGAGGGGGCGGGTACGGACAATGAGGAAGTAAAGGAAAAACAACACCTGATAATTTTATTCAAAACCATGCAATTTAAAAAAATCTTGAAAATACTGATTAAATGGCGAGGGAACAAGATCTCCAAAGTTTAAAATTTCCTTGCATGCCATTTTTACATGTGGAGGTTACCATTTTGATTTAAAAAAAACACCTTTTCTAACTCCTCCCTCCTCCTCCTCTAATTCGGATAACCCTGAGCTGAAAGCATTAGTTTCCTAATGTCTTTTACTTACTTTTGGTATCACTATGGATGATGGGAAGTGGGAAATATAGTTTTAAAACAGACATGTATAACCGAGAAAAAAACAAAGTGCGCATAGGCGCCGGAAGTGGGGGGGGGGGGCACTCGCCCCAAACTAAAAAAGTGGTGGACAAAAAAAAAAGGCCTCCCCCCTCTCCAAAAAAGAAAAGAAAAGCAGTAAAGGAGTAAAGATGGTTTGTGTTTTTAACCCAAACTAACATAACAATAATAAAGCCTTGAATTAAATCCCATATAAAATTCCATTAAAAAAAAAGGAAAGTTACGAGAATTAAATTTCCTAAACATTCCGCATGCCACCTATATTTATCAATGGAGGTTTTTAAAATAGCGATACGCGCATATCGTGGAAATATTGTGAGAGGATGGGAAAGCGTGTGTGTTTTTTGTTAAAGGGGTGAGAAGACATGAGCCCCTGAACGCTAGCGTATACCGATGGGGGTATTTCTTATTCGATATCAGTGATTTACAAATGTTGCTGAAATGACATGATTTTCCGGTGTTTTTTCTCCATTTTTTTGTAAGTCATACCTTTTAATGCGTTTGTTGGAAAATTAGAAATTCCCAAATTGACAGTCAGGCAAAAAATATGCTTATTTAATAGCCTTCATGTTAAGGCCTGCAGAATGGCTGGGCTTGGGGGCTTGAGCCCCCCTCACTTATTGAAAAGTACATGTATGTTACAGAAAAAAGAAAGAAAGAGAGAGATAAAAAAAAAATTAAGTGACCTGTCAATGTCACAAATGTCACAAAAAGCTTCCGCGCAGCGTGCGGGAGGGGGATAACTGAATTCAGACAAGGATTAAGAGAAGAACACGGTACAACGAATCGTCTTCTTTCTCTAATAAGTTAATGAAACGTCAAAGCTTCCGCGCGTCGCGCGGGATGTGGGAAACTGAATTCAGATAAGGATAAAAAGTCGAGAACGGTACAACGAATTGTCTTCTTTCTCTAAATATTTGATGAAACGTCAAAGCTTCCACGCTTCGCGCGGTAAGGGGGAAACTGAATTCAGATAAGGATTAAAAGTCGACAACGAATCGTCTTATTTCTTTAATTATTTAATGAAACGTCAAAGCTTCCGCGCTTTGCGCGGGAGGGAGATAACTGAATTCATAAAAGGATTAAGAGAAATAATTTAATGAAACGTCAAAGCTTTCGCGCTTCGCGCGGGATGGGGAAACTGAATTCAGACAAGGATTAAGAGAAGAGAACGGTACAACGAAGCGTCTTCTTTTTCTTTAATGAAATTTCAAAGCTTCCGCGATTTGGGTTTTTCTCAAATCTTCACTGGTCTGTTCTTCTCATTGTTCTCCTTGTATTAAGACAAACTTATTATCAGGGTGGACTTCCCCCTTTAAACCTCCAATCCCCCTTCTTCCTCTCTCCCTCGCACCATCTCTCTCTCTCTCTCTCTCTCTCTATCTCTCTCTCTATCTCCCTCTCTCTCTCACTCTTGAGGTTCCCCTCTCATCTCTTCAGTTTGCAATTGCCCTTTTCTCTTTCTTTCGCATTATGTCGATTTCTCTTGAAATTTATTATTAATTTTGTTACCAAAATGTGCTTCAAAATAATTGTGAGGAAGAAATATTATTACAAAATATGATTTTTTTTTTTTTTTGATGCACGACTACAGAATTAGTCGTAAGGAAGTCTCGGTCTGAGAGAAGAATACTGGTGACAAGAATAAATATTGGAGCTGTGTGTGTAATAAAATGACTGAACTATACAAAACTAAAGAAATAATATACCATAGTTATGGTGGGAAAATTTAATGGCATCAAATATTACTCCACACATGAAAAGTTTAGAAAATATGGCTTCCGAAACGGTTCTGATATTTTTCGGAACATATCAATTATATTTAAAAAATAAACACTTTTATGGTTGATATCTATCGTTTTGATTAAGAGTATACCTTTCATTGTTTTTTGTTCATACATGCAGCATAAAGGTTTTACCATGATACAGGAGTATGACATTTTACTTTCACATACATGTACTATAACATTTTAAATCATTTAACCAAATAGATTTTATAAATTTTAATAATATCAAATCATTGCTAGTCCCCCATACATATTTATGTGGATACAGGGGCGTACGCAGGATTTTTTCAAGGGGGGGGGGGGGTTTTAAAATATTTTGCTCCCGAAAATTTGAAAATCGCGCCGGCCGAAAAGTCGCTCAGTGGGGGGGGGGGGGGGGGGGGGGGGAAGCGGACACTTTTTTTTTTTTTTTGGTCTCAAAATTTCAAAATTTGCCATTTTTTTACGTATGGGGGGGGGGGTAAGGTCACCTTATTTAGGTTAGCCGTGGGTATAATTTTTTTTTTTTTTTTTTTTTTTTTTTAATAAAAAAAAGAAAAGAAAAAAAAAGCCAAAGGGGGGGGGTTTTAGGTTTTTTTAGGGGGGTTTACAAACATTAAAATACCAAAGGGGGGGGGGGTTTGAACCCCCAAAACACCCCCCCTGCGTACGCCCCTGTGTGGATGTCAAGGACTGTTTGGTAAAATACACATATAAACTCTAAACATAATAGGATTTTATGTCCAGTGAATCCAGAATAAGCAATACGTGTACTGTACATGTTCATAAAACAACTTTGTTGACCCAGCGCGACATTCACATGACATCTGCATAAAAGAGAAAACTTGAGGGTAAATATTTCTCAGCAAAAACTCCCATTATAATAAAGATATATATATTATGCTGGCCTTACTGGGCATTGTTTCACGAAACCATCCCAAGTACAAGTTGGCGGACATCCTGTTGATGTTAATTTAAGTATGATAACAGTTTCATGAGATACTGCCCAAATTCATAGACTTAAATTTAAATGCTTTTTGTATTCATGTTCCCTAACTATTATGAATGCCCCTTTTTTAATGGAGGGGGGGGGGCACTTTTGTTCATGGTATGTCAAAACTTTAAAGGTACTATTCAGCATTATAATCAGGTTCTAAAAGTAATTGAATTCGGAAGAGAGTGTAAGAAATAAGAACCATGTGATATAAGAAAAATAACTGTTTCATATGTAACAAATTATACTCACTTACCATAAAGATAATAAGAATTCTATGAGTTATCCTAAAATTCTGTATATCATTACAAGTGGTGTATTTTTGAAGAAATACATATATAATACATACGGTAATAAACATATAATACTGTGTCCCCATCACCTAATTGATTTATTTTCAAGATATATTTTCAAAAATTAAATTGTACTTTTAAAATATTGAGAAAAACAAAAGCTACCAAAAGAGCAAATGGTAAGATTGAGACATAAATACTATACCAACTCAATTTCAAAATAAAAATTTTCCAACAAACATTAGTGATCTTAAAAAGACTTTCTTCAGAAGTAAACTTTAGCTGGGATCTACATTTTTTTCTAAAAATTATCAAACTTTTTAATTGCACATTGTCAAATAATATATATATATATATATATGTCTATATAATGTAAATATATAGAGTGTCTATCTATAGCTTTCTAGCAAAAGTTGTTAAAAAATTTATTTAAAAAAATATTATTATATACAAGTTTAACACATTTTTCATAAACTTATAATCTATGAATTATTTAAATGATATGAAGACTAGGAGAACCTGTAGTTCAAGAATTATCTATGAAGTACAAACTGTGATAAAACACTGATAAAATTCAGAAACTCCAAACATTGGATGCTTTTGGGAATCTGAAGAAACCATATATAGCACATACCATATAGGCTTTCTAATCTACATGTCACATCAAGTTCCATACCTCCCCATCATAATATGATTGTTGTTGATAAATATTCAAATATAGGAAGTTAGTATCTTTAATAGACTGACTGTTTCCCATCATAATAGCATTTATACTGCAATCCTAGAGTACCAGTGCAGAGCTTGAATTTAATCCAATAGGCATTCTTTGTTAGTGTATGGATGACTCAACCAACAAACTAATCTACAATAATCAAAAAGGGTTTTTGTCTGATAAGATATTGATTGATGTAAAAAAAAAAAAAAACATGCACGATGCGGTACAGACTATTGATACTTTATCTGCTGAGTTCATGCTCAAAAATTTGTCCCCATTGGTGTCGGTCCATGATGCACATGATTCGCCCAGGCAGGTCTTCATAGGATTTGAAGCTACTGAAATCCCCTCTGATCCATTTTCTCCTGATAGCATGATGCTTGAAGTTACGTTGCAAAGTTTCCTGCATGAGACAAGAAACAAGATTGACTCCGTAAATAGTTATGTGTAGAGAAAATCAACAATGGAGCATGCATGAAAACACATAGTTGAAGTTAAGAATTGGATTACTGTTCAAACTGACCACAGACGGATTCTTGCTAGCACATATGACACAATCATGTTTTAATTTTTTTTGCTTATGTCTACTTTAAAGTAGATATTCATTGATTTTGAAAACTAAATTTATTTTCATTATTGCAAAGTTGAAACTTTGATTCGACAAGGTTATCAAAATTCAATGCTTGGAAACATTCTTCCTTCCTTTTTGAGTACAGACCTCTTTACAGAGTATTATCGTACTATACTGGGCAGGGGCGTACGCAGGGGGGGAGGGTTTGGGGGTTCAAACCCCCCCCCCCTTTGGTATTTTAATGTATGTAAACCCCCCCTAAAAAAACCGAAAACCCCCCCTTTGGCTTTTTTTTTTTTTTTTTTTTTATTATAAAAAAAAAAAAAAAAAAAAAAAAAAAATTATACCCACGGCTAACCTAAATAAGGTGACCCTACCCCCCCCCCAACGAAAAAAAAATGTCAAATTTTGAAATTTTGAGACCAAAAAAAAAAAAAAAGTGTCCGCTTACCCCCCCCCCCCCCCCCCCACTGAGCGACTTTTCGGCCGGCTGAGTCGACACTTATTAGAAAAGAAAAGGAGCATGTGTCAAGGTACAAAGAGTAATTATCAAAGGTTTAAACTGGGCACTTCTTACACCTGAAAGAGGCACTCACCAGAAATGAGATAGGGCACTTATGAGTATGGGAAATGGGCATTTGTCGACGGAAAAGGGGCATCCATCAGAAATTGATTTATCAGAGGTGAAAAGGGGCATTTATGAAAAGGGGATAGGTCCCTTAATAGAAAGGAAAAGGGCACGATTCAAAATAAAAGGGCAGTTAGCAAAGGTGAAAATGGGCACCCAGGGCGTACGCAGGGGGGGGGGTTTGGGGGTTCAAACCCCCCCCCTTTGGTATTTTAATGTATGTAAACCCCCCCTAAAAAAACCGAAAACCCCCCCTTTGGCTTTTTTTTTTTTTTTTTTTTTATTATAAAAAAAAAAAAAAAAAAAAAAAAAAAAATTATACCCACGGCTAACCTAAATAAGGTGACCCTACCCCCCCCCCAACGAAAAAAAAATGTCAAATTTTGAAATTTTGAGACCAAAAAAAAAAAAAAGTGTCCGCTTACCCCCCCCCCCCCCCCCCCAACTGAGCGACTTTTCTGCCGGCGCGATTTTCAAATTTTCGGGAGCAAAATATTTTAAAACCCCCCCCCTTGAAAAAATCCTGCGTACGCCCCTGATACTGGGGGTATGTGCAGGTGGACCACTACACCGGGGTTTCCCTCTACTCTTATACGAATAGTGCAGTGGGTTCTTAACGTGCAAAGGTAGTGACTCTTCTCTACACGGGGCCTCCATTTTACGTCCTATCCGAGGGACGGAGTGTTTTCCACTTAACATAACCTGAACAAAGGAAGAGGCACGTAAACACACAATGCAGGCTTCAGTCATCCGCCTGGGTGGGAGTCGAACTCGGGATCTTTGGTTCGAAAGGCAGACGTTTTACCAACTGAGCAAACTCACCTCCAACGAAGTAATGATTATTATGAATTACAAAACGCTTAAATACAGCCCAGGCATAGCACCTGAAGAGCTCTCCGAATGCTACTGAGATGTGTGAGATCACAGTATGGACATGATTTGCACAAGCAGACGATGTCCCATGACATCTCACACATTTTCAGTGCCTGTGTTTTCATCTTCTCTTGAGTTCTTTCTCTTACTTCACTACCGTCAGGCTAAATGTATAATCTATTGCCTCACTCTAAACCCCCGCGCATGGTTTTATTTTGATGACAAATGCAGTGATACAAAAATAAAGGAATCTGTCGCTTGGAAACAAAATAAGACGCCATTGTATATTCAGCTGCACACACCGCGGTATGTTCGGCGTTTCAAGAGGGAACAAATGCCGTCCTTAATATCATTCTGGGGGATTTTCAATTTGAAAGTCTGGTTTCTTTGACCGTTAATTAACCCATATCCTGTGTATTTACAAGCAAATTTTTTTAGTTATCAGAATCGGGTCATATCCCCTTTTGCATGGTTTGACATGCCATTACATTTATATACAGTAATCTCATTTTAATTTTGACAAATAATAGCTTTGCAATTATGTTCATTCTTTATGGGATGTTGTCTGCTTGGGCAGTATTGGTCCATATAGTGACGTCATTATGCATTTACACATCTTCATATACAGTTCCTACAAGCATCTGTTGCAACCTATGAACTGAAAGCTTTATGAATTTACACAGAAAACTCTTTAGAAATAGTTTAAATTTATACATTTAGGTATTCTACCCTATTACAAAATAAGAAAATCTTCCAACTGCTTTAAGTCTGAAAGCCAGGCTCATCACACAATGACCTAGGTTTCTATTATCTAGGTACATCCTGTCGTGGAAAGACAATAGGACCCTGATTAATTAAATCTGAAGAATACAGTGTTTTAGCAGTACTACACTACATGCTTATAGTTCTCTTCTAAAGTCTAAGATACATGTAATAAGGTTGATAAGGAGTATCAAGTAATGGACCTTTCAAAACTAAGATACTGTTCTCCACCAAAGAATATGCCTATTGGTATTAATGCAATCTATGATAATTACTTTCCAGCACGTGACAGGATGAGATTCCTTAAGTATTTCCTCATTACAAGGACAATAAAATTTTCCCACTAGCAATTTGCCATGTGATCTACTTTTAGCATGATTTTAAGTTTACAAAGTCGTAACAAGTACATGTACTACAATGTATGACTATGAAATTTTTTCGCTTGCAAAGTTCATCTAGATATTCTCTTGCAAACAAATCATTCAGTAGAAAACTAAATGTGAAAATGAAAGACACTCAAAGACGTTGCTGAACTGTGAACCTTGTTCAGTAAAGATTAGAGATGAATCAGAAAAGAAAAGCAAACAGGCAATATGTTTGTTTGGTAACTCAAGTGGTTGTCAGTTGGTTGGATTACAACATACTACAGTGAAACTTCTCATGTTCAATTTATTCATAATTTCATATAAAATTTCCCAAAACACTTTGAGAATTCTAGGTTTTAATCTTTTTTTGTTTTTGTATGAAATTCAACAGGGAAGGGCAGGGGGGGGGGTGCACAATGAAATATTCATAACCAGATGTTAGTGTACTTACAATATACCCCAAATGGGATTACATACATGTAAACGTCCAAACTTTGTAATTTGAACTAAGACCGTACCCCCGCATAGCTAATTTTGTATGTGCATTTAGCAGTGATTGGCCCAGGGTAGATCATGGTTGAGGAAGGGGAAAGTTATTTAAATACTTCATTTCATCTTGATAACCCCAAATTTGTAGCATGGTATAGCCGACAAATACCTGAATCGGGTAAAAGAGCAAATGTATGTAAACAGCATCCTGGGGGCTGTTTCTTGAAACCGTCATAAGTCTACCTTTTTGGACATCATCTTTGGGATGTCCACAAACTTAGACTTACGATAGTTTTGAGAAACTGGCCCTGACTTCCAATGGATTTTGTGTTCATTTTAAAGTAACGCAGCAGTGAATTCATTAGAGTGCCACATAGGTTTGGGCCCAGGGAGTAGAATTATCACAAAGCATTCTCACCTTCCATGAGTATCCACTTGCTCTGTCCTCTACCACATCTGTCCAGTCTTCGCAGTTGAGCTCACAAAGGAGTTTCCAGAGGTAGTCCGTGTTCTCTATTACATTGTTCCAATTCTTACATGTTTGGGATGCAGCACAAAGACTCTCAATGTCTACAATGGAGAGGATATAGAGGCTCAGCTCAGGTGGGAGAGTTTTTAAGAAGTTGTTGGCGAACTGCTGTTTGCTAATTCTTTGGGAATCCATGATGAGAGATCTTTGAACGTCTTTAGAGAAGAAGTTAATTGTTGATTCAATTCTCAAGGGCTTGTTTGCAGATAACAAATCTTCAGTTGCACTTGATATCAAAGCAATCTTCTTGGTAGAGAATCACAACTCTGTTGGAAGAAGAAAATATCTTAATGAAATTAATGTAGTCTGAATTTATGCCAAATACCTTAAGAGTAAGAAGGTAAAAAAATATAGCATCAATTTTCAGGAAGCAATCAAAAGGGGCAATATAAACATCGTCCCTCCCTGGCCCTGCAAATGTAAAGTGATGGGACTCAACAAAGAAATGTTTCCCACAAACTCTCTCTCAAACGCTAACGTTCTTATTGGTCAACAATATCCCACTTCAAGGATCAGGAACAGAACAAACAGATTCAGGAACACTGAAACGTTGCATTGTGGACAGGAAAAATGTTAACATAAATTTCTCACAAACAAAATAGGTGGGATGCAAAATGTTAATGTACAGTAAGGTGAAGAAAAAAGTCTAATAAAGCAATTCCATTTTCAAATCTCATCAAATAACATATAAAAATAAATGAGCACAAAGACATTGAGCTTATTTCCATCTACCATCAAAACACTTCATAGTAACCGTCAAAACAGCAGTAAAAAAACCCTCAATAGTTATCCACTACATCCAAGCCCAAGCCTAGCCAGACTCAACGAGGCTAAGCAATGGCGATATTTATTTAAGTTAGAACTACACCCGTGTTTTAAAAAAATGGCACACTTGCTCTTTTAATATTTTATTTTTTTAGAATATAAAAATTGAGATAAGATCATAAGAGTAGTCTAAGCTGCTTAATCACCATACAAATGGAATAATTTCTTACTCAATATCATTGGCCCGTTTTTAAAGGGATCCGGTAACTTTGTCCTACCGTAGATCCTTTAAAAAAATCCTTGATTTAGCTCATGCTGCAATAATTATCAACCTTTAGGTCAGTCAGGAACCCCATGACTTTTACAAGCCGATCACCTGTCCGATTATCAAGAAATTGTAATTGAAAATCGAAATCATATTTTGCGTTTGCCAAACGGTTTTCATAACACTACAGTCTATTGTGGAAAACGAGTATGGTAAAAACTGGTCACTCAAAGGTTACTTTTTTGAGGCACTTCTTGATCATTTTGAAGTGCAATTTTGTTAGGTTAGGGCTTTAACAATGATATAGACTAGTAACACCATATCACAGACACTGATAACACGTAGGGCCATGCGTCTCAGATTTAACATTGTTAAATGATATCTTTAAGTAAAATCTCTGCTGCAAACACAGAGCTCCCATACTAAGAAGAGACTGCATTTCCGTGTGTGATAAACAAAATTTAAATGGTCATTACATATGCACACGAACGTACACGAGATGCGATGCACAGGTTCACAACAACACAACGAAAACAATCATCGACAACGCTAAAATGAGCCCAATGATCCAAAGCTTTCCGATGTGTTCATCATAATATAGGATTTCATAGAGAATATTAACTGAAATCCCTACTTACCCTAATTTCTCTTTCAGTTGGACTCTATTTGTGATGAGTTTGACGGGGAATTTACGATGAAATTAACTGGGCAATCCCCAACAACGCGTTGGGCGGGGTCAAAGTGCGCACTTATGAATATGCTAGCCTAACAACAGAAGAAAAAGTTTGTTGAGAATAGTTGAGAGAACTTTAATTGTTGCTGATTACAAATGTATATTTTAATACTAATGTATTTAATCTTATTTTTAAAATGAAATATTAAAAATATTTTTTAGAAATTATAAATTAAGACCAATATATGCCCTGATGATCCAGGTAATGAACGTGATGCAGAAATGAATAAACAATTATTCTTGTAAAAAGCCTATCATAACAACAACATCAGCCTAATACAAACTTTATTACAACTTTTTGTTTTGTTGATATAATGCGTATACATTTTTGTGAAAATATAATTACTGATTGATTCCCGATTTTTTTTTTTTAAACAGCAACAAAAACAACAACAACAACAACAACAAATGTTAATCTAGCTCGTTAATCATATTTTCAGTATCCAAATCCTATGAAATATTGAAAGAAAAACCTCACAAACTGTATACGATAGGTCAGAAGCATTTCAAACTAGTTTGAATTGGTTAAAGGGCAATTCAACCCTTGTAATAAGTTCAGTTGTACGGAATAAGAGACCCATCATGGCGAAAGTTTAAAATAAGTTGAACTTATTTAGAATATGTAATTTGATTATATAATGATAGAGTTATGAATGTTTGAAATATGATCACTAAGCGAATGCAAATCTCAAATTGGCAGTTCGGTCAGTGGACTGTGAAGTACTAGTCGCAGATAACTCTCCCATTCGTCGTGTATAAAATTATATTTAATTTACGTTTTCCTCTCTTTGGGTTGGGGCACTACTCAAAACATATTAGATATAGAATATTATTGTAAGTCCTATCATCGAGAAAAGATCTCATGAGCCACACACATTTTGATAAATTGCCATTTTAGTCATTTTGTGTGTTGGAAAATTTGTCCGTCACCATAGTATAACATTACTTAAACGTACATTACCGATTTAGCCACTGAATTGGAAGAGCCCATCCTATAAAGTGATTATAACTATTAGAAAAATCATAACATTCTCATTTTTCGTCCAATTTCATTTAAACTTTCACCAGTCTACTTCTCTGTATATTTTTTTTTGCTTTCCTCTCAGAGTACCGTAGTTTACTATCAATGTTGAATCTCCCCTTAATTAGGAATCAAAATAATTATTCACGATCTCAATTTGTCCCATAAATGTAGTGTACGCTATTGAATGATTGAATGAATGGCAACAAAGGTGCTATAGCTGCATGTATTCACTGCTGAGCTCGATCTGTGTATATAGATAAAGAAATATGAAGCATATATTACTTTGCGAAATTATTACAAAAACAAATTATATAAAAGAAAAAGGAAACATATCTGAACAAGACTTAACTGGCTACTAGCAACCGAAAACAATATATTTACCACATACATCACCGTAGCAAGTGGAAAAACACCATCATAAATTTTGGAGACAGAAGATGGAATATTCCAATAAGTCTCAGGGGCGGATCTAGGGGGGGGGTTAGGGGGTTTAACCAAAAAAAAACAAAAAAAAAAACAGTAAAACATTTTTGTTTTTGTTTTTGTTTTTTAATGTCGAGGGCAAAATGATTTTTTTTTTTGTAGTGCTCATTACCCCCCCCCCCCCCCCTCCATGAGCGAAATATTGGTAAGCGCGATTTTCAAATTTTGGCCCCCCCCCCCCCCCCCCCCCCCCCCCCCCTCTTGGAAAATCCTGGATCCGCCACTGAGTCTCCAACCACTCTCCTGTGCAATATAGCTAATGGATTTATGATTTTTTTTTTTTTTTTTTTTTGGTTCACAAGTGCCTATCTCCAAATGGGCTATGGAGCAATATTCCTTAGTTTGTACATTGTTGCTGAGAGCCAGTAATTTGTTAAAGAAAAATGAGATAAATGATATTAACAATAACTCGACACTTCAGCTCTTGTTAAACTTCTGGAGCGTTTTGTTCTTGTATAATTGAAGGCTTACTTATTTCCTACAATTATATATTTTAACAATTCTTTGTCCTTCTTGTTCTTGTTCTTCTTTATCGGTCTGCTTCATCTTCTTCTTCTCCTCCTCCTACTCCTTCTTCTTCTCTTTCTTTCTCTTCTTATTATCATTCTTCTTCGTCCTCTTCTTTTTCTTTTTTTTTCCTTCAAGTATTTTGGGGCATTGTTAATTAACAGAGTTATTTTTTTTCAAATTTATTACATTCAACATGTAATTATATATTTTTTCAAGAGAGCTTTTCTTTTAGCCTGTAAATAACATGAGAAATCTAATCGCTGTTTATGTAAAATAACAGTCATAGATCTATCATGACTATTAGCCCGTTTTTAAGCTTTGTCTGAAAAGGCAAGCGTACCGGTATAAATGTTATAGATCTACTTATAATTTCACTAACAGTGATTTTCTTAAATTATCTCTAATCTGGGTCGATGCTATATGAAAGTGCGTGTGCGAATTTTGTTGTTGACGAATTGTAATATTGTATCGGTGCTTTGTGCTCATATGTACGGATTATTTACGAATGATTCATCTCATTCTCATCATTTCTACACCCACATTTAATTTTCAAATATGGACTGGGTGAAAAGCTTAAAAGATTACAATGCTGCGAAACAAAAGGATACAGTCGGTAAGTGAATATATTCATAATCTTTTTGTTATTATTTAGAACGCCTGTTTTTCTGACACACAATCCCTAATGAATTTACAGTCGAAAACTGCACGTACCGACTCCCGCCCTACCGGTAGGTACACAGGAGTATCGCACCGCGCCTGTGCTGCGGCGCGGAGCTCCGCGGAGCTGCAGGTTACGATACGGGTTGGCTTTGAGCTTTGTTGGGCCTTGGGTTTGGTTTGTTTGGGCATGGCCATGGAAAATGGCATGTTTTGGAAAACGAACAAGACGTATTTAAGATTAAGTGCAGAGCTGAGGCCACATCCCCATAATACCTCTTTATAATAAATCTCCACCAGTAAAGTGACAGTGTATCATTTTATTGTTAGTGACTCGGCTCAACAGAAAAGTAAAGTTATTTGTATTTTACTATTGTATTTGTAACAAGTATGAGACTAAAATAAGAGTCGGTGCTTTATAATATATAGCGCTAGTTCAGAATTGTATCCAGACTTTGACCCGCGACTCCGACGTCGAGATACCCTAATATTAAATACCAAAAATCAACTAAATCGTTATCAATTGTTAAATTTATGGTCATGATTTAAAAGTCGTTATGTTTCTTACGCAATTCTTAGCCATTCCCGCACACGCCGCACCATGCAAACTAGAGTTCGCTGGATGACTCTTTGTTCTTCTTTCTACTCATGTAATAAAGTATAAACAGCCTACTTTGTTTACTCTTTAGCTTTTAAAATTTAAATAGTCTGCATTATAGACTACTTATACATTTTATTATTGTCATTATCTACATTGTATCCGGGGGGGGGGGGGGGGGGGGTACTCAGATTATAGTCGGACGGGGGTGTGCGGCTGAGACCTCCGAACCCATACCCACATCCAAGGGTCCTTTTGCTGAAATAGGTACCCATGTCTAAGGATTTTTTGTCAAAAATGGACCCATGTCTAAGGATTTCGAACTTCAAATATTACATTTTTTAAGCTGTAATAATACACTCCAGCAAAGCATATGGAGAGTCAATGCTAATGCATAATGCATAATGCATTTGACTAGGCGTTGTGGCGTGCGCCTGTAATCCAGCTTACAGTGGAAGTTACAAACTGATTCAGCCGAGGACGCAGGTTCGAAACTGAGTCACGTCTTTCGGATGGTGACGTTAAAGGTCGGTCCCCAGACGTAAATAATCATATCTGATTGATACACGTCTGTAAAAACCAAAATACACACACACACATATTGACCTCTAGCACTGCACTACGCATTAATAGGCAGCATTTTAAATACATGAATAGTCAATACACTCATAACACAGAGATGCACACAATTATGCCGATGCGGCTGATCGGCAAGTTCGACAGTGGACTCACAATTTGATTTTTTAAATTATTCTTTCTAACATTACTGCTATTTAGATCTTATTGATTGTCACTAAAAGTATCGATTTTTAGTGAAATTGGTTGAGTTTTACACAGTGGTGTTTGAAATGTTGAGAATCAATACTAATAGCACAGCTTTTAATACACAGCCAGGATAGTAATGCACCTATGTGTGTAATAATACAATGGCCAATAATTTTGCAGTTTCTCGATAAAGTTCTTTATTAGTAAACTGTACCATACTACATGTAGTTTACAAGTAGTTTACACACATAAAGATGAAAACACCATGCAACATAATAATACTGTGCTAGCACCTCTAGCATCTGTTTTAATTGAAGGACTTTTCCTGTTAACGTACACGTTAGGCTTGAGTCAGTACGGTCGATCACACCGGGACCCGACCGTTGCCGTCGGGTCCCGGTTTCGTTTTTTGAGAACCGGCGCTCCGAAAAAAATAATGAAATATGTAAGATATTGCAGTTTTGCACACCACTAAAATCAATCCACCCTAAAACTTAAGTATTTAATTGTTACCAATCGTATTCTAGCTCATCCAGAATCAATCCGAACTGCTGATATAAATATGGGTTGCAAAGCAGTTCGCCCCATGGGGTTGTTGTTGCCAGCTGCTAGCTAGCTACTGTACTGGCCGGGTCTCTCGGCAGAATTAATAAATCAGGTTGAAAGAAACATTAATGTTTGAATAATAAAACGACTTTCTAAAAAGTACTTCTTTACAACATACCGATCGAATAATTTTTAAAAGACAAAATATATATTTTTTCTTTGATTTTGAACACCGCATGCTTCTTTTAAAAGCTGAAAATGACTTGGTAATCACAAGAAGTTTCGATACGGATAGCTGTTGCAATGCAAGTTCAGACTAGTCTCTGAAAAATGCGCAGTGCTCCTTGTTAGCTATAATGCGTGCCAGAACGAACCCACACAAAGACGTGATCGTAACGAGAAAAAAAAATCATTAAAAACTACGAGAGCACAATTGGAAAGACAACTACTCAAAAGTATCGTAAGCAGATACATAACTTGGAGGAAGAATACAATAGTTGTCCAAGAAAAGCCACAGAAATAGTGATATTTAAGGAGTTACTATAGGTACAATCATTTTCGGAATGGGCCTGATGATATGTCCGAATTACACGTTATTTGGTTTCTAGCCTCGTGTTCTAACACGAGGCTAGAAACCAAATAACGCCCTCTACGGTAAAAAGCAGTATAACAAAGGATTCGAGTATTTGCAGCAAGCCCCTTGCGATAAAAATGTACCCAGTTACTCCTCGATTATCACAATTTCTTTGGCATTTCTTGGGCGATTATTGAATTCTTTGTCCAAGTTATTTATCTGATTATCGTAATTTTGAGCAGTAGTTGTCTTTCCAATTGTGCTCTCGTAGTTTTTAATGATTTTTTTCTCGTTACGATCACGTCTTTGTTTGGGTTCGTTCTGGCACGCATTACAGCTAACAAGGAGCACTGCGCATTTTTCCGAGACTAGTCTGAACTTGCCTTGCAACGGCTATCAGTATCGAAACTTCTTGTGATTACCAAGTAATTTTCAGCTTTTAAAAGAAGCATGCGGTGTTCAAAATCAAAGAAAAAATATCTATTTTGTTTTTAAAAATTATTCGATCGGTATGTTGTAAAGGAGTACTTTTTAGAAAGCCGTTTTATTATTCAAACATTAATGTTTTTTGACCCGATTTATTCAACCTGCATGAATCAAAATGGCGGCTCGATCGTTGTCTTTCTATTTTTGCTCCAGTTTTTTTACTTTTAGAGGCACGATAATGGCACTAAACGTCGCCAATCATGGATAAAAATAATGTCAAATGGAAGAATATACCGATCTGTGCCGAGGTATGCATGTGTTGATTTATTTGACTGATAAAAAAGGTCACTTTTAAGGGACATACTGATGATATGCGCTTTTTATAGAGGCAAGCGACAAATCCTGCGAGCTGATTTCGGGACATCGGGTCCCGATCGGTGCAAGGCCGTCGGGACCCGGTTTATGAAAATACCGACATGACTCAGGCCTAGTACACGTACACGAGCTCTCAAGCATTGGCTATATAGCTCCCTGCTTGAGCCCCGCTGCTGCCTGGCTGCTGGGCAGAGGGTACGCAGGGTATAGCTGCCGATCTTTCAGCGTGCGAAGCGCTACAAGTTTCCGGGGGTACGACCCCTATACGGGCGGATACCATACCTAGCGCGCATTATGCCATATGAGTACCCGGTATAGAGCCCATGGGGTCCTGATATATGTGGTACCCCAGGATCTAGTGGAGTTTACGAGTTACGTACGTACATCCACTGACTTAGAGGTCAGTGCGTACACCTCGTACACTGGAAATGCAATCACCGAAGGGTCCATTTATTTAGAGATGGGAGAGATTTAGGCATTTTCAATGTAGGAGCAAATCCCAAAATCCAGGAGAAAATGAGGGAGAAAAGAGGGGATAGGAATAAATGAAAAAAGGGACCCATGTCTAAGGATTTTTTTAATGAAAAGGGGACCCATGTCTAAGGATCTTTCCTGAAAAAGTCACCCTTCCGAGCGGCACATCCCCGTATACCCAATATACGTGAGTACCCCCCCCCCCCCCCCCCCCCCCCGGGCATTGTATGCATACATTGTGTTTACTAGTTGGTTACATTGTTCACGTTTGTACTTTCATACACTAATTATACACTATAGACCTATTATTGTTTGTATCTTTGTGTCATTATCTACAGGTATAATGTATAAGAATCATATTCACAAGTCATGCATTGCTATTTATACTTTTATGTTTGTTTGTACTCTCAGTCTCATACCCCGAGAGGCTAACTAGAGGGGTCAAAGAGTCAATAAAATTCTTCAAAATTCTACACTCAGAAGTCAGAAATCAGAAATCATCCAGAATTTGAACAAAATTGTGGAAATTCGTTACTGGAGTGATAGCAGCAGCGCTTTGCATACCTTCCACATGTTCCTGATGATAATGAACTAACATGCCATAGATCTGTCCATGACAAAAAAAGATTGGCCTGTGTCAAAGTTCACGATGTTGATCATGGCTGGAAACGCAAGTTATAGCAGTTTTGAAATTGCTATTACATGTATGTTTTCATTGCAACCTTAAGGAAATTCCAACCTTTATAGTAGCAAATTGCTCTCACAGAAAGCAGAAAAAATTAGAGAAAGTTAAATGTTTGTGGGCATTATATTTATAGTTTCAAAAATTCAAATCTTAAAATGATGTTATGGAATCACTCCTGTATCTTTTACAGGTAAAACAGAAGAGGAGAAAAAGGCAGAAGAAATGGAAGTGTTCACAAAACTTTATACTGAAATGAAAGGTCCAGATAAGAAGCAAGACAAGACTTTCAGTGCCATTCCAAGATTTTATTACAAAGTAAGTAAACATTTTAACATGATTATAAACTGTTAAGTAATGCAAGGATTTGAAGTAGTAATATGAGTATCATGTACATTGAGAATTTGTGTGCATTCAAACATTCATAATCATTAAATGTCTGTGCCTCAGGCTCTTTTTGGGGGAAATAATATTCATTCAGTGCACAACATATTATATTGTTATAAATGAGTAATAACTTACAACTATATAATTTTGTTACTGGCATGTTTCTGACTTTCTGTGATAATTAGTAACTAAACGTATACCAGGGTATATGTTTTGTTATGTATTTGTAAAAGTTTGAGATGTAAATATGGAAAGTTGCGATTTGTTATCATAATATATTTCATTTATGTATAAGTAATGTATGTAACTCCAATATCTTGTAATATTATGACAAATTATGTAATAATTTTGTATCATTTCTTGTGCATTGAATGAACAATAAAACAACTTTCAAAAGAAAAGTAAATACCAGATAGAAGACTTAGTGTATTGAAAATATTGGATTGCATATAATAATTCCTTTTGTTCATTATAAAAGGTATATTAAACAGAAGTTTTCAACAAGAAAAAAGTTAAAAAGGTACAAGTTGTAGTTTGTGAAATGGTTTAAGAAAATGGCTAAACAAGATAGATTTAATGCTATCAAATCATATTCTGAACGCAGGACTACAGGATTTTTGAATCCATAGAAACCATTTAATTGCAAGCTCTGTTCTTTCTATTTTTTTTCTATGATATAGTTACCAGGTGAAGATGATGTTCTGCTGCAAAAATTAAGAGAAGAATCGAGGTAAGATTTTACCATATAATCATGATATATGTACATCATTGGGTAATTTATGTTTGCTTAGATACTGAAGGTTTAAAAATATTGTGTAAAGGTTTCATATCAACTTGAACAATATGAGAAATGTCTGTCAAAATTGCATTTTGAACTTGTAAGATTGATAAATATGATGTTCAAGATTCCTTTTGTCCAGACTTCAAAGCAATTTCACATTATGCCAGTTTTGTATTGTATAAAGGTTCCATATCAGCTTGAACAATTTTCTGAGAGATATCTGTCAAAATTGTTATTATAAACTTGTAAGATTGATAAATATTACATTGTACAATGAAGAAGGTTTCTCTTGTTCAGACTTACATGAAAAGCCAGTTTTGTACTGTATGAAGGTTTCATATCAACTTTAGCAACTATATAAGAAACATCTGTCAAAATTGTCATTATGAACTTATAAGATTGATTAATATGATGTAGAAAGTTCCTTTTGTTCAGACTTCAGAGTAATTAATGCCAGTTTGGTAAGAACATTTTTCATGCATTAAAAAGAAAGGTGAATGTAATTATCTTTTTCAATTGTACATATAGATGTTTAATATTGATATGGTTTTTATTTTCCAGAGCTGTTTTCTTGCAGAGGAGGAGTAGAGAGCTGCTAGATAATGAAGAACTTCAGGTAGATTATGGTTTCATTTTTGTTTTGTTTGTTTTTCCAGAAGATTAGAATAAACCGGCTATATTGTTCTCCTCGTTGTTCCTTTCGTATCTCTCATCAATTAATAAACACCCAAATGGCTGGCAGTAGAAATGTAATGATATGAGTTAATGACAATATTTTTGAGTCACAAGTTTAAAAGTTGGTGAGAGTAACTTTACTGTTTAGAAAAATCAAAAATCAACAAAATCCCAAAGCCAGAAGCTAAAATTAATTTGTCTTACACTTTTACGTAAGATGCTTTTCTGTCTCTTATTAAACAGATGATATATTCCAGATTAATTTGTTTGAAAATATGTAATTACTGAATATGTATCATCAAGTTGCAAATTGCAAACAATTGTTTGTCACTAGTTAGAAATCCTACTCTGCATAGATGTTGAAAGAACATTGATGTGTAGTGTTTAATGCAGAAGTATATGATTGAATTACAGAATCTGTGGTTTTTGTTGGACAAACACCATACCCCTCCGGTAGTTGGAGAAGATCAGATGATAAACTATGATGACTTTCTCAAAGTTGCTACAGAGGCAGGGGCCAAATGCAAGTAAGTATTAATATTATAAAAGTCTTAAGATCACTAGATACTTAATCAATTGACTTTGACTAGATTTTTACAAAATTTGCCAAGTGATTACATTTGTACATTGACAGTGTGTGTGCATGTAAATTCTTCCTGATTGAGGCCCCGAATGATGTTATGAATTGTATCATGGAAATGTCAATATCATAGTCTTGAAACTATTCTGCATCTCGTATGTGAAGAATTTACATACCTTAATGTTTAAATAAATGGCAATATATTTTTCAGAATCCACTTGTATTCATGTCATAGGGTGTGTGATGTCATTCAGAGATAATTGTTAATGAATTGAAGACTTCAAGCCTTCATTAATCCATTTGTATTCCAATCTCTCTCTCTCTCTCTCTCTCTCTCTCTCTCTCTATCTCTCTTTCAGGCCATTCTTTACAGCAACCATCTTTGCCAAGCTGCTCCAGAATGACCCCTATGGTAGGATCTCTATCATGCACTTCTTCAACTATGTAATGCGTAAGGTGTGGCTCCATCAAACCAGGATTGGTCTGAGTCTCTATGACGTAGCTGGGCAAGGATTTCTCAAAGAAGCTGTGAGTTATATTTCATGTCTTTATCCTGCTGAACAGTAGCCCAAGATAACTCTATGGAAAAGATTATTTTTTACCAACAGCGTATAACACCCACCAGGTTAATCTGACTATTTTAGCATTATTATTATCATTTATTGTCTTATTCATTGTAAACAACAAGATAACATATCTGCGTTAAAGAAACTGAAGGAATTTTCATGGGCACTTGACAGGCATTTATTACAAAGCTAGCTATTTCCAGAAAGAATTATAGCAGAATTCTCTGTTTTTTCTCCCACAAACTGTCTTCAAGAGAGTAAGGAAGCCCTTTACTGTGGTCTATATGTAACATCAACCATTCCAGTTCCACAGACTTGAATATGTCAGGACTAAATTCTGATTTTCCACCATTCATTCAGGATCTAGAGAACTACATTCTAGAGCTGATACCAACGTTACCTCAACTTGATGGGTTAGAGAAATCCTTCTACTCCTTCTATGTCTGTACAGCCGTCAGAAAGTTCTTCTTCTTTCTGGATCCAATGAGGACAGGTAAGAACACGTCATAAGACTTGGAGAATACTTGATTCATATCTAAGACCTCAAGAATGTTAAGTAATAAAGGGAATTTATTCATGATATTGGCTATATCACAGGATGACAACCTCTATAGTACAGTAAGATAAAATTGTAAATTATTACCTTTGATACTTTGTTTATCTCTGTGTTAGTAGTCATTATTCTCATCAAATACTTATATGCCACTGACTTTTCTTTGTACACATAATTGAATGAAAAATATTTTATATTAATATCTACTTAATTTCATCACTGTTATCTTATTTGGGACTTTCAGGCAAGATTCGTATCCAGGACATCCTGGCATGTAGTTTCCTAGACGATCTTCTCGAACTGAGGGATGAAGAATTACCCAAAGATGCCCAGGAATCCAACTGGTTCTCAGCTCCTTCAGCACTAAGAGTGTATGGTGCGTAGTAACTGAGCTTACCATTCCATAGTGAATTACCATATTACAGGCCTGATAATTACCCAATTTAAACCGGTTTCCTGTTTTTTCATTCTTTTTTTTCCCCTGATTTTCTTTCTTCCTTTTGTTTTCTTTCCTGATTTTTCCTAATTTTGTCCTAATTTTCCCCAAATTTTCTTACTCAAAAGGGGGAAATATTGTTAGATGCCATTCCCCCCCCCCCCGAATCCATTTTTTTTTACTCAATGGGGGGGGGGGGGGGGGGGGGGGGGGGGGGGGGGGGGGGGGAAAGGGGAGTGGTTGAGTGGTTGAGGCAAAACAGAACCTATTTTTTTGTTTAGTGCTCACTATCACCCCTGGCATTAAGACATTAGCATATTTTCTGTTTTCCCTATCTTGAAATGTGTAGAAGTCGGCAATTGGGCTTCTACATGGAAATGGTCTGCTTTGTTTCATGTTACAACTATAATTTCTCTGAAGCATAAGGGTAAACTTGTAAAAGTGAACATGTTTTAACCGGGAGAAGGCTCACATCTCCCACTTCTAATGTGTGTAGTACAGTAGAAAATTTATACATGTATATAATATGTGCATACAAAGTATACAAATCTGATTTTTTTTTTTTTTTTTGATTTTTTTTTTTTAGACAATGTGTTCACACATGAACATCTATGACATTATAATGGGTTATGGTTTAGAGACTTTGGTGGTAAGCGCTTTATAAGTAACGTTTTTTATTATAATTATTATTTATTATTATCACAATAGGTCAATACTTGAATCTGGATAAGGACCACAACGGAATGCTGAGTAAAGCAGAGTTGGCCCGGTATGGAACAGGAACATTGACTGAGGTCTTCCTGGATAGAGTGTTCCAGGAATGCCTCACGTATGATGGAGAAATGGTAAGCTGTCATAGTTTTGGGTACATAATAGAAATACCCATCTTATACTCATACAACAGAAAACGGCCTTATCTTGTGGTAGAAATTGATGTATTCTCAAAATGTATTGTAGTGAATTTTTTCTCCTTTTCAGTTGTGGAAATGTGACTAAAGAGATATGTTTCTTTTAAATTTGTGTGATAGAGAATAGGCTTCCATCTCATCCTCAGCTTACTTATAATCATCAGTGGGAAAGCGGAATACTTCTGGCAATATAGCGATAATAAACAGTGACAGAACAAATATTCGTAGAAGTGTATTAATACCCTATTCACAAGAGTGAAAGCATCTTCCTTGCTGTGAAAAATAAATCTGAGTTTTTGAGTTCTTGAGGTTTTTTATCCTGCTTTTGTGGCGAGGGCATGTACCCTCATTCCCTACAAATTTTATTGGTATTTGTAATTTAGAATTAGACTGTCTGCTACACCTGCTAGGACATGTATAATTTCTAGTACATTGTTCCGTTGAGCAAAATGATGTTAATTGCATTCATGTACTCATAAACATTGGTTTGTTTTATTTCAGGACTACAAGACATACTTGGACTGTGTTCTAGCGATGGAGAATAGGAATGAGCCTGATGTTAATTGCATTCATTTACTCCTAAACATTGTTTGGTTTTATTTCAGGATTACAAGACATACTTGGACTTTGTTCTAGCGATGGAGAATAGGAAAGAGCCTCAAGCTCAGCAGTATTTCTTCAGATTACTGGATGTTCAGAGCAGGAGTTATCTCAATGTCTTCGCACTCAACTTCTTCTTCCGGGTATGTGCATTCAACCCTTGTAAAAGGAAGTCCCGTCTCATTCTATGTCTGTTCTGTAAAAAGTGTTCATGTATTCACTTGGATTGCTTGATGTTTGATATGATATTATTAAATGTTGCCACTTTTATGTTCGTGCTCTTGAAAGATATACCTTTACCAGATTCATGTAGGGAATGTTTCACAATGAATTGTCAAATCCACGAAAATAGTACTAGGCACGCTCTTGATTTTCATTTCCCTTTACGCTATACTTCAACCTCTAAAGATTCCATATTTTTCCATTGCCCATTAATTTGGAATAGTTTGCCAGATGACATAAAACAGTGCAATACATTGAAACGCTTCAAATATATTCTATAAGGGTTATTTAAGCGGAACAAAATGAAATTGTCATTTATTATGTAGAACGTAAAATTCAATTTGTAACTTCCTTTTCCTTATCTTCTCTCTCGTCTTATCTTCTTGTAACTGTCTTTACCTTATGTTATCTTTGTTTTCCCTCTGTTGTTGTGAATGTATGTACTATGTTTTTTATATAAAATTAGTTAGTATCTTGTTTATGCTAAGTATTTATTTGGGGATCATTCTCATCAAGCCATTTTTGGCTTTCATAATTCCCCACTTCCTTTTATCTTATGTTGATAATGAACAAACATGTATATACTTTGATGTTTTTTAAAAGAGAGTAAAATAAATAAATGAAATGAAATGAAATATTGGTAAATTTCTAGTTTTATACAGGACTCTAATAGTGATTATATTTTTTGATTACCCTAAATCATATCTTGAATAAGTAATTTGTATTTTACTGGGCTTGAAACTATCGTTAAAATGCCCCCCCCCCCTCCTTCATGTTGATATGGAATTGTCCTGTAAATGAAACTCAAACGTTCTATCATTGTTATTGCCAGAAATGTGATTATTTATATAAACCCTGCTATGTCTTAGACAATATATTTTTCAATTGTCTATATGTCCTTCTTTGTGTAGTTCTAACTTTATTAGCATGGAAGTACTGAAATTCATAAGAAGACAAAGATGATCTACACATATTGTTATTAATCTCTGCTTTGTTCCTTCCTAATAATAGGCAATCCAAGAACAGATGAGATCACACGGTCAGGAACCTGTATCGTTTGCTGATGTCAAGGATGAGATCTTTGACATGGTGAAACCAGCTGACCCGCTACATATTACCTTACAAGATCTCATCAACAGGTAAGCCACAAATGTGTTGAGATAACGAGGCAAACCTGGCGAAGCGTCATGTATATTGCCTCATTGGATTTACTTAAGATAATACATTTAAACTTATTAACCTCCATCAGAAAAGCATTCACCCCCCCCCCCCCTCCCTACTTCCTTTCAAGCATTTAATCATTTTCCATAAACTATGGCCCGAGTAATCTCTAGTTCAGTTGGTCATGGATAATACTACATTATAATGGGTTTAGAAAATGTGAAATGATAAAAAAGTCTTTTTTAACAATTAAACTTCAGACACTAAAGATGTTCCCAAACAAATATATAAGGATGTATTAGCAATTTAAATTATTGTGTACAGTGCAGTGGCAAAAGAAAGCCCAGAGCACAAAGGCCATTTAAGCCAATACTGGGTAACCTCTATCTCATCTAAACCAATGAGGTACTCGTTAGACATAGACAACATACCGGTATGTTGGAAATCCTACATTGATGTCATTGTTTGATTCTTTTTTTCTTTCTACAGTAATCATGGTGAGACAGTCATCAGTATCTTGATAGATCTGAATGGATTCTGGACTTACGAGAACAGGGAGGTTCTAATGGCTGAAAACAATTCCCAAGATGATGATCATGACATATGAACAGGACTTCCATAATTATATCGTGATGTATATTGATAGACCTGAATGGATTCTAGACCTGGCCCTGTTTCATAAAACTTGTTATCAATAACATACTGCAATAACTGTTATAAGCTACTGAAATCATTTTCATGTGATTGGCTGAGAGTAAATTTGTGATAGAAATGAGACGCATGTTATAGATAACAAGTTTTATGAAACGGAACCCTGAATGGATTCTAGACCTATTAGAACAGAAAAGTTTAATGGCTGAAAACCATTTACACGATGATGATCATGATATATGGTTTGGATTTACATGTACGATGAAGTTAAATCTATGCCATATGTGATCACAACTTTGTTGAAGTGGACTGGGAATGCTGTTTCCATTTGTAATGATGAACTATGTTAAAAACCAATGGTAAAAAGCAACTCATGGAATGAAGGCTGAGATATATATATATGGAATGACCTGCTAACTATATCAGTTTTATCACAAGCCATAATAAAAATGACTGGAGTTCTTGATAAGAGTCTGATTTAGATGCAAAATATCTGCTGAAAGCCAGAATGGTGTGAACCTTTATCACTTTACATAAGGTCAATGCCCTTTAGGCCTAGCTAGCAGTCCATATGAACTGTACGTGTTGGATGGTGACTACAAAGAATGACAAACAAAATGGCTTCCATGTTTGAATATCTCAATGTTACCCTGCTGTGAGCATCGCTACCGTATGCATGGAATGTAATGGGATCTTGTTGAATTTCTTTGTCTCATATGCAGCATGTGAAATTTGGTACAATTATATAAGTCAATGTGTGTAATGATCGGTAGTAGTTTGCAGGATGGGGAATTACAAGGAATATATATTCAAATATTTTGTTTTGAGGGATACATTCTTTTTGTTGAGGACAGTGAATATTTCAAGTTCGATATCTTTTTCATACATTTTTTTCTGTCTTAACAATAATGATTTCAATTTTCATATACAGAAATTTTTGTAATGCATGATTGTGTATCGAGAAATGATAAAAGGGTGCATTTCTCACTAATAAAGTACGGTATATATTGAATTGTATTGATTTTCCTCCAGAAGATTATATGTTATGTATGAAAAGCTTTTTTACATATATGTATCATGTTTATTTCCATGAAGATAGTAGGAAATATTATGAAGGTACATTGTACATGCTAGGGCTGGGAATTTTGGGTGTCTTTTTAATTCACCTCAAATTCCCGGCGGGTACCAGGTTTCAAGTCAAGTACCTTTCACAGTACACCCATTATCCTTTGAGTAAGAAAAGGTTAAGCAAATTCTTTTTTATGACATACCAGTATTTTGTTTTGTAATCAGTGAATACAAAATCAAGGTGGTTAATTTTTTTATATTTCTTTTGTATTTTTTCTCTCTCTTTAATGATGATTATTTAAATTAGTATACAGCTTGGATACAATCATTCCATTATAATTATAGTGTTTTAAAAGGGGAACATGAAGTAACTTTATATATACTTATAGCTGTGAACCAGAAACCAAGAACATGATTTATGTTTCATATTTGTTAATGAGGTGGTAATGTGGGCCTGTAATCTGGAAAGTAATGTCTAACTGTAGGCTTGATGAAGGTTCTCTATTCTGGTTGGCAAGTTGTTGCTATATTTAAAAATGTGCATTGTAATATTTTCTGGCCAGACAGATGTTGTTCTCCACTTATTCAATTGTTGTTTTCACATTCAAAGAAAGAAAACCATTAGTGACTTGGTCTTCACTAAACTAGACGCACCAAGTATAACATTAAAAAAATCCATATACCTTAATGCCTTGAAGCACTTTCACCAACATGTAGTTTTCCTCTATACCCTGGAGCTCTTGATTTTTGACCAAATAATGTTGTTTTTCATGTTCCTGTTACAGTTTTTATTTTGATAGAATCACGCCATTTGATTCAATTTTTATGTGTAAGTTATCAGAGCTGTATACATGTGTATATTTATTGTACATAAATATTTATTTGCCATGTAAATATTCAAATATGTTAATGCACTTCCAGCTTTTGTAAAGAAACTATTTAATAAATGAAGAGCCAAATTCTTTTAAGCATTTTATAATTTTGTGCATGTCATTTATTAATACAGATAGCATTAATACTTATGAATGGAAATAACAGTGACCTTTAAAAAAAAAGGCTAATGGATTCACCTGCTGAAGGTGATTGCCTTCAAAGTTCTTTGTTAAGGAAAATAGTACTGAATTACATTTAGTAATTAAGCGTGTTTAAAACGTTACAGTTTGAAGCATCATCCCTGGTAAAGATATGAAAGATGAAGAAAAAAAATAGTATGGATTAAGAGAAGAAAGGGAGGAGAGAGAGAAAGGGGGTGCAGGGGACAGGATATGGTAAACTGCAATCAATTCCAATTACTGTTTAAAAAAATATGACTAAAAACTATTATTAAAAGTGATATAATTCACCACAACATAATGTCTCGTGCAAGAATATAACACTGGGAACAAGTTTGACACGATCAAATTCTTGGTGCTTGGAAATTAATTTGTTCAGTCCCTTTCTTGCATAAGAGTGTTTGTACGCAGGATTTACTTTTAGATCTTTAATCATGAATAAACCAACTCCGTTTTGTTAATGAATGAAGCAAGGTAATAAAATGATCATGTACATGAAGAAGCCATACAATTCCCCGATCGTTTCCGTCTGGCTCTCTCTCTCCCTCTCTCTCTCTCTCTCTCTCTCTCTCTCTCTCTCTCTCTCTCTTTCTCTCTTTCTCTCTCTCTCTCTCTTTCTCTCTCTCTCTCTCCGTGTCTTTCTGTCTGTCTGTATATATATTTCTCTCTCTCTCTCTCTCTCTTTCTATCTCCCCTCTCTCCCTCTCTCTCAATTACTTGTTGGTTTCACTGTTAAACAAATATTCAACCAACCAGTTGCTTTGCGAGCGGCAAGATTTTACCAGCTATTCGAGGGCGACAAACCACATTATATAGAGATAACTCTTTGGAAAGGAAGATCAGTTATTTCCGTCCTTCTTTACTAGGTTTTGATAGTACACTTCTCACCTCTGTGTAACGAAGAGATCGATCGACTTTTAGTAGATCTACAAATCTGAAAAATCAGAAGGAAACCATATTACACAAGGTGTAGTCTAGGCCTACACACTCACACGAAACAGGCAAGTATGCTATTCCTTGATTTTGTATATACCATTTTACAGTGCTTAATCAATGAAGTCAAGTTACAAGCAGAAAATGCCAAGCTACTATAGTTTTTTAAATCTTAAGATTTGCATGGTCAAGCATGACCACAAACTTTTGCATGTGTCAATTGGTCAGCATCTTCCATAAGTTTTTGTTTTTACATTATACAAGTATACTGAAATTACCCCCAAAGGCGGCTATTTTTTGCGACAGTATACGTGCTTCTCACTAACATTAACGCTAATTTAGGCTATAGTAAGCAAGTATTTATTGGCCAGTACTTACTTTGCTAGTAAAAGAATGATAAATAGATGAGATAGAGAGAAAGAGAGAGAGAGAGAGAGAGAGAGAGAGAGAGAGAGAAGGGGGAGTATTAACAATGATGTAGGCAATTTCATATAAATTGTGTCCCGCTTATGTGCTCATTCTATCTCACATAATTATGTTTAAAATCGTATCAGGACAATTATTACTCCCAAGACTTATATGAAGGTTAAACAGTTCTACTTATTCTTTGTGCAGAAAAAAAAGAATAGACTTTTGTATATTTGGCAGTAACGATTAGCACTGCCCTCCGATTTTAATTGGAATCCGGTAGTTATATGTTTAAGTTCAATGCTTTACGAGATAACAGAATCAAACAACATTTTTTAAAATTGCATATGCCTATGTTTTTACCGTCAAAATGTAACCTACATATTTGGAAAACTAAAAATGAGTATGTATGTGAAGATTGTAATACCATTGACACCAGGCGCGTACGTAGGGGGGGGGGGGTGTTTGGGGTTTAAACATCCCCCCTTTGGTATTTTTATGTGTATAAACCCCCCATTCTCATGGCTGACCTAAAAAAGGTGACCTTACCCCCCCCCCCCCCCCCCCAACGGAGCAAAATGTCAAATTTTCAAATTTCGAGAACAAAAAAAAAAGGAAAAAAAAGTGTCCTCACAACCCCCCCCCCCCCCCCTATATATATAATATAGAACCGTCTCAAACGACAGAGGAAAGTGGGCGGTGACGAAATAAAGTAGTTGATTACGCAATCCCCACACGTGTGATGCGCCCTCGATTGTTTACACACCGGCCACCATTTATGTTTCCCCCGTAGCTGCGGAGACCATTAGTAACGCACTAAATCTGCTGAACGCGAATTTTTTATCTATAAAACTGCAATCATGAGATCTTTAATAACTCCTTTGATTCGTAGGATGTCTACAGGGAACAAATCAACTATCTATGGTTTCACAGTAGCATCTCTTGATGGAAAAGAGAGACAATTATCTGATTATCAAGGAAAAGTCTGCATGATCATCAACGTTGCGTCACTCTGAGGCACAACCACGCGCGACTACCATCAGCTCAACGAGCTGACGGCCAAGTACGGGTCGCGCGGCTTCGAGGTTCTAGCATTCCCCTGTAACCAGTTCGGTCATCAGGTAAGACTAGATGTTGCCTACACTACAACTAGACTCAATGCAAAATCCCCACTATCCGTATCGCTTTGGAATTATAGTTTGCCTATACAATATAAGTTATTTGTCTCATTTGCCTCATCCTGATTCAGAGGTTTTATTTTGGCTTACTATTATTATTAACTAGAAATGGAAATTATTGAACCGTGAACATAGAAGGCTTTATATGAATATGAAGTCTAAATCTAATGACAAAGTTTCAAGTAATAAGCTAACAATTTGCTATATTAAAAGAGAAATCTAAGCCTTGTTTATTGTAATATGTATGATATCTCTGCCTATAGAGTAAATGCTATACTTTATGTATTTGTATATGCTCATGTACTGTTTGATATATGTAATCCTTGTTTTGAGCATAACCCCCCCCCCCCTTGTTCTGCTTCCCTTCTTGCCCCCCCCCCCCCTTCTCTCCTATGAAGTCTATCTCTCTCTTTTGCTCCTACTTCTTCTCTTGTCTCTTTTTTGTTGTTGCTCTCTTTCTCTATCTCCCTTCACCTTTCTATATCTGTATCTTATTCTATTTTTCTTTCTCTCCCCATGAGCCTCCTCTTCTCCATATCTACCCACTCACTTTTCTCCTTTTATTCTTACTTCTGATCACATAAAATCAAGAACCAAGATTTCCAATATAATATTTCAAGAATATTATTCAGTGTTATTTTGTATGATTGATGTACTATATTAGTTTTTATCTCAAAATAAGGATTGATAATTGGTACTTCTTGATTTCCATCTTGATTTGTCTGTATTCTGTATATTTTATTTTGTAAATTAAATATCTAAGCCCTTTGGGCTGCATGTTAAATATTTGTATCGTGATAAACTGGTGCAATCAATCAGTATCGGGAATCTAGATTATAAGGGGATACAAAAGTGTCAGTACTTTTTAATATAAATGTATATGCCCTACGTAGAAACATCAATACTCAAACTAAGTTTTGCTTATTAGATAACAACATATTTATGACATCTTTTTAATTTACATTTTGCTCATTTCCAGGAGAATTGCAAGAATGAAGAGATTCTGGACTTGCTGAAATATGTAAGACCAGGACAAGGTTATAGCCCCCAGTAAGTAGAATATTAGTTTTGCCAAGCTTTTATCATATTATTTGTTTGGAACCAGAGGACATGCCAATTTATATTCAATACAACCACTTGCAAATCTTTGAAAATATCATGAACCGAAATGTGAGTGATATATTAAGATCATTTGGTGGCATAGTTAAAAACAAATAACATTTAAACTTCAATGTTATATTTACATATATATACATATATTAATACTCTATAAGTATAACTTCACTGTCGGCCATTGACTGCACGTGCATCCCATGCCAGTCATAGTATACATTTGTAGGTTCCAGAGTGAGCTGCAAAAGGGATTAATGCTTCAAGTTCAAGTACATGCTTATATGTTCATTATATTGTTTATTTCTTGTTACATATTTTCATGATGTCCTTTATTACTTGTTGTATATTCACCATATTGTTTATTCATTGGCTTATACCTTTAGTATATTAGATATTTCCTGTTTCGTATCTTTAATATATTGTTTAATTCTTGATTTTTACTTTTGTATATCCAGGTTTCCTATCTTCTCTAAAGTGACAGTCAATGGCAAAGACACCCACCCCCTCTATACCTTCCTTAAGACCACCCTCCCCTTTCCCAGTGACCTGGCAGCTGGGGCGGGGTCAGTCCTCATGAACGACCCTAAAGGAATCATCTGGAACCCCGTCAGGCGTTATGACATCAGCTGGAACTTTGAGAAGTTCTTGATAGGGCAAGATGGGGTACCGTTTGGGAGGTACAGTCCCAAACTACCCCCTGCTGACTTAGCTGGTGATATTGAGAAACTTTTGTAGACTTCAAGATGAGTTTTTAAAATATTTATCTCCAGTTTTGATTTTCACAAGATTTTGTCTTTGCTTTAAAATGATTTGAGAATGCTTCCTGTCTGATTATAAAGGAAATCATTTTTGTAATCACATTGAATTATCTTTAAACAACATTTCTAGAAATTAAGTTCTGTTTTGAGATAAACTCTCATGAAGTTCTAATGAAATATTATCATCATGTAGTAAATTGAAATCCTTATGCATTTGGAGATTGTGTAGGTCTACAAAATTAAAAGGAAGTGATGAATATTGTCATCATACAATCAAATAAAGCTTTCCCATAAGGGTGAGGAAACAAAGATTGAAAATGGTGAAAATTGCAACACACCTGTGAAAGCACAAACCTTGTTTACCTATCTATCATTTTTGAAGCATTGTGTGAAGTAAACAAAGCCAAAGGTAGAAATAATTTATTGTGCCACATAAAACTGCCTCAGGGTTCATATCTTATACTCAAATACGGCATTATTACAATGTATGGTCTTTATACAGTATTCAGTTTTTACATACCGGTATATTACTTAGTTTGAATGAATCTTTTTACTTTATCAAGAATCAGCATGTCTGTTGATGGGCCTTGAAGAATGTTCTATGTATCAAATATGTATGTTGCTATGATTATATAAACATGACTACAAGTTTAGTGTACTATATCCTTAGTCATCCTTTTCTTTATGCTTATTTATTTTCTAACCCGTGCCAAAGAGAGCTTTGTTTACAATTTTACAAAGACCCTGTACATTACGCTTCCCTGATGGACATTAATGGGCATTTATCCGTTTAAAAAATGTTTTGAATCACTTTCAGACTATCCTGTAAGCCTGGGCCCATCATATTCAGTATTTAGTATACCAAGTATTGTCACTTGTCAAACTTGCCACTAATGATATAATTTTAATGCTTAGCCAATTATATATTTCTATCTCCATGTTTCTCATCCTGAATGATTGGTAGATTTCCTGTAATATTAATTAATTTATCTCTTACCTGATTATTTATGTGTAAAATCAAATTAAACAGTTTATATTTTCTGTGTTCTTTTTATCAAAGATCAGTTTTCCATTATGAAAGCGTTATGAACAATGAATGATTTGTAGATTTCCTGTAATATCAATTGATTGATCTCTTACTTGATTATTTATGTGTACAATCAAATTCAAACAGTTTATATTTTCTCTGTGTTCTTTTTTCAAAGATCGGTTTTCCTTTATGAAAGGCTTGTTTTGAACTCTACTTTAGAAGAAACAAATCTTGATGCGCCGGAAAATTGGTCTACTTTTACAGTCCATCTCAAAGACACCTAGAAAATATAAGCTGTTTCATATTTGCTTTGACATCCATTAGTTTTCAGGTTGTAAGCCTTATGCATGTATTCGTGCCGTGACACTGCAAGTATTATTAGAGCACATGTGCCTTCATTTTATGCTTTCTTTATCTCTTGCAGATGTCTCCTAGAGTCAATTCTCGTCTATGATGGTATTGTATCAAACTCATATTAAGAGAGAGCAATGCTGGATGCTTTAGAGAATGGATTCAACCGCAAGGTGTGGTACATGTGCAAGAGATAAAGCAATCATTTGTAATAATGTTTGTCTATGCATCCTAGAATAGAGAAAGAAAAAATATATATTATTAAACAGCCCACCAAGTAAAGTTTGAATTTGCTCAGATTATCTTTATTCATTGTCTCTACTATTTTTTTGAAGGCTTGTACACATACCTCAGGGTAAACCACCATTGTTTACCGCTTTTTAAAATAATTTTTTGGAAGGGTACTGCACTTCATATTTTTGCATCTTACAGCTACATTTATATTGTGCTCATATCCATCCCATATTATGTGTGGGACCTTGTGTACTGCTATTTTTCCATACCCACTTGCATTTGTAACAAACAAAAAAAAAACCTAGGTAAATGTGAATGGGCATGAGTTCATGGTCTTTTTCTTTCTTCCCCCTATCTCTCTCTTTCTGTAACTCTCACCTTTATTTTTTCATCTCTCCTTATTTCTGTCCACCTTTGCCTCTTTCACACCCCCCCCCCCCCCCTCTCTCTCTCTCATAATATCTGTCACTGTCAATCTGTTTGTCTAAATCTCTTCCTTCCTCTAACCTTTCGTTCTTCATCTCTGTCTTTTTCGATAAGTTCACAAACGCATCAAAATTTGAGCGATATTCTTTTAATTGCATACCATGCCATATCTTTTATAAAGCCATTACTAATGGGTGACCATATTCCAGTGCAAATAGAAAAAGACAACAGAGTATATTAGGTTGCAAGGGCAGCTGCAAAATCCTTATATGTTATGTGTTAAGTGTAAACAGTGTCGAATGTCATTTTCCCCGGCAAGAAAAAAAATGGGTTAAGATAGGTCCTCAAAACTTGCACTATCGTTTATTCAAAACTTTAGTAAAATAAAGGGGATTGTTTCACAAAATTGAATACACAGGCACTGAACTTAAAAACTCTATTCAAATAGCATATTCCATGGTTTGTACGCAGCCATGTTACTGTGACACTTTAGCTTACAAAAAATAAAAATGAGTTTGGGAACTTTAGATTTGTGTTCAATAAAATAGTACACCAAGACATTTATGTTTTGATAATAAGATAACACACATCATGGTTGATTTATAAAGACATGGAAGATCAGGAACAAGATCATTAAAAAATATCCTGTTCCTAAATGGATTTTTTTTTTTTTTTTTTGGTTGTTGGTACTAGTCATATTGATATAATATATATCATTATGTTCTAAATAGGGTGGGGGACGACAATATATATCATTGACACTGAAATTCCACTTCATGGGGGTGTTTTACACTATATATATTCTTAAATGAAAACCTTTCTATAGATTGGTAGGGGTCCCTGATGTCTCTACTCCTGTCCCCATTCACCAAATGTGGCATACAATATCTTCAATATTTACTCAAATTGCTGCTAGCCTGGACAATGATGCTCCACTAATGCTTTCACCATCTGAAAATCATTTGTTGCTTTCTTATCAAAGCAATAATATCTTGTTTCACCTTTTACAAGAAAAATATCACCCACACAACGTTCTATTATGTTCAGCTGCTAGTTGTGAAATTAAAACACCTCTGACTGCAATTCTTACTGCAATTTTGTGTACTTAAAGTGACTCAGTAACATTGTCTCAGATTCTGAAACAAAATCCTGGATTAAGCTCATGCTGCAATTATAAACCTTTAGGTCAGTCAGGAACCCCATGACTTTTACAAGCCTGTCTGATTATCAAGATATTTATGGTTGGAAATTGAAATCAAATTTTCTGTTTTCCTGACGCTTTTTATAACACTGCAGTCTATGGGGGGGAAAAAAAAGTATGGTAAAACGGGTCACTCAAAGATTTTACTTTTTTGAGGCACTTCATGACCATTTTGAAGAGCAATTTTTTTAGGGCTTCAATATTACACCATATCACAGACACTGATAACATGTAGGGCCATGCATCTCAGATTTAACATTGTTAAAAGTTGCCTTTAAGGGTTATTTAGGTTGGTTCAAAGCAGCTTTTGGCATTAAACTTCTTATGACTTGCACTGTGTCTACACTAACACATGTTGTTGTATTGAGACTTGTGCTACTATTATTCGAACCTCTGCCAGTATTCATAATACTGACCGATTACTTTGGTTGGTAAAGGTACTAGTGATGCAGTATTGTGCTACCTGAAGATCAAGATCAGCATTCATGCTAACAAGGACTTAAAATACACAAACTCATGTACTATTAACCCATTTCACTTTGAAAAAATAATATATATGTATATACATCTTTTGTATATATATACAAAATGCGTCATTCCACAATAATAAAAGAACAAAGGCTTTTGTCTCTAGAAGATAAAATGCCATCAACTGCATTATTAAATGATATACATGATTCGGGTTATGGCGTTCAATACATAAACTTCTGTCACATTACATAACAATCTTTGAATGCAAGACAACTGTCAACTATACATTAAATAGGTACATTATTGCCCTTTTCACTCCCTGATAAAAGCACGCCTCTTAAATATCTATAATACGTCTCATAAACATATATAAATATAAAGTTCATATAATTCTATCTAAGAAACTAAAGCACAAGGCCTTCATCAACTGATCAGAGAAGGGGTTAAACCTCCCAAAGTCCTTCTAAACCACCTTACAACAGATGTACATGTTAACCACAGGTACAACTCATACGCTGATATCTGGAAAAGCTTGATGTCCCGACGTACATGCACACGTAGACGCCCCCATCTACTGCTTCTTAGTGATGCCTCATGTTGAGCCACGGATCTCACACAGCATCTAGACATGTTGATGAATGAACTAGCATTTTCGCTGCTCCCCAGGGCATATTCTATGCTACGTAGTAAGTCGTTGGTCTTGAGGAGGAGCAGCATCTGTCTTGGTACCATGTTAAGGAGTTGAGTGATCTCTGACATGTACAAGGCTGCATGCTCACGAACCTCACGATCCTAGCATAAAAAATATTGAAATTTTTTGTGAATCTATGAGCATTATGATTATCTTTACAAAATAAATGTCTGATTCAACTAATACTTTGTTGTCTGTAACTGATAGCAAAATTGTACAATACAGTCAAACCTGTCTTAGCTACAACCTCTTTACGAAGGCCCACGGTCTATCCTTGTAACCGATTTTGTATCCCTCTAGAAAGAAATATCTGTTGTAGAATCTGTCTAGAAAGGCCACCTGCCTACACTGGCCACTTTTCTTGTTTCCCTTGCATGGCCCTGCTAGGCAGGATTGACTGTACTTAGCTACAACACTGCAAGTTAGGTAGTCAAGTCAACTATTGGTTGCCAAATGCACATTGTCATATTTGAACTTGTAGGTACTACTTCTATTTATCAAATATACTCCAAATCCAGATCGAATATCAGATCAGTTTATGACATTTTTTAACACATATCATTAGCTTGTAAGACAATCCACGGCCCAAGATCAAGGGTATGAAGCTTGCCATCGAGCGGCCACATCGCCAATATGGAAGTGCTATCTTCATGAACGAGAAGATCAGACCGGATTCTACATCCTATACCCACAATAACGACATCGAAGTGCTGAATGTGACAATCAAAGGACTAACGATCTCCTCCATCTACAAGCCACCAAACATAAGTTTTTCGTATCCTTCCACCACTACCAATAGGCATATTGTAATTGGCGATTACAACAGCCACAGCACGCAATGGGGATATGATACCACTGGAGATGATGGAGCACTAGTTGAAACATGGGCCCAAAACAACGACCTAAAACTAATCCACAATCCAAAGCTTCCAAAGTCTTTCGCCAGTGCCCGCTGGAAGAGACGTTACAACCCGGATCTAGTTTTCTGCAGCAGGCTGCTTGCTCCCACCAGTCGTAAGTTTGTAGCTGAGCCGATTCCAAGATCCCAACACCGACCCATCGGCATTCAACTGACTGCAGTTATCACACCAAACAAGACCCCGTTCAAGCGCAGGTTCAACTTTGCTAAGGCAGACTGGCCTGCTTTCACCGAACACCTTGATCATGCCCTAACACATCTCCCTGCAGATCCAAAGAACTATGAATCCTTCATAGATATAGTCAAGAAGGTGTCACGTACACATATCCCAAGAGGCTGCCGCACGACATACATTCCAGGCATCGATGAGGAATCAAGTCAGCTTCTGGCAAACTACACCACAGCCTACGAGTCTACGACACAGATGCCTTCTCAGAGGATACCATCAACCTTGGAGAAGAGCTTATATCAAGGATATCTCAACGACATAGGCAGATGTGGCAGCACATGATTGAAACAACAGACTTAAGACACAGCAGCAGGAAAGCGTGGGCCACCATACGCAAGCTCGGAATTGACAGCACCAGAGCTCAACAGCATTATAATGTTACGGCTGACGAAGTAGCAAATCAGCTGTTGAAAAATGGAAAGGCCCCCAAGACGACTAATTCACACAGGCACAAACTACCTGGAGTTGACCAGAACATGTCTCTTTTCACAAGACCTATTTCTGAAGAAGAACTACAGAAAGTTATCTCCACGCTACACGTCAACAAGGCGGCAGGCATCGATGACATCAGATCGGAGCAGATCAAACACATGGGCTCTGTAGCACAGAAATGGCTGCTAGACATGTTTAACAACTGCATCGAGAACACATGTGTCCCAAAACAGTGGCTCCGAACCAAAGTCGTCGCTATCCTCAAGCCAGGAAAGGACTCGAACGAAGCCAAGAACTTTCGACCGATCTCGCTCCTGTGCCAAACATACAAGCTGCTTGAACGCCTTATTCTCAACAGAATTGGGCCTCACGTTGACAGCCAACTGAACTGTGAGCAGGCAGGTTTCCGACCAGGAAAATCCACCACGGGACAACTTCTCAACCTGACCCAACACATCGAAGACGGTTTTCAGAACAACCTCATCACAGGTGCAGTATTTGTGGATTTATCTGCGGCTTATGACACTGTCAATCACCGAAGGCTACAGACAAAACTTCATGACATCACAAATGACCTCAAACTCACCAGATTCATTCAGAAGATGATGCAGAACAGACGCTTCTTTGTCGAACTGGATGGGCAGAAGAGCAGATGGCGGAAACAGAAAAACGGTCTCCCCCAGGGTGGCGTCCTGGCGCCAACACTCTACAACATATACACTGCTGACATCCCTTCAACAGAGAACACTCGAAACTTCATCTATGCAGATGACACCTGCATCACAGCCCAGCATAGTACCTTCGAAGCTGTTGAACTCCATCTCAACACAGCGCTCGCAAGCCTTTCGGAGTACTACAGAGCAAACTACCTACGGGCAAACCCATCCAAGACTCAGGTGTGTGTTTTCCACTTGAAGAACAGGGAGGCAAAGAGAGAACTGAAGCTAAAGTGGAACAATGTGCAACTTAACCACTGCGAGCATCCAGTGTATTTAGGTGTAAAACTTGACCGCACTTTATCCTTCAAGAAACATATCGAGAAGACAATAGGCAAAGTAGAATCTCGAAATGCCATCATCGGGAAGCTAGTATCTTCACACTATGGCGCTGACCCCAAAACTGTACAAAGTGCAGCTGTTGCTCTATGCATGTCATCCGCAGAATATGCTTGCCCAGTTTGGAGCAGATCAGCCCATGTGAAGAAGCTTGACACCACACTCAATAACACATATCGAAAGATAACAGGATGTCTGAAACCAACAAAAGTTGAGGAGATATATCACCTCGCTGGCATTGGATCTCCTAACCAAAGGCGCACTAACACCTGCCTAAAGGAACGGATGAAGCAGGCGACAGATGACAGACACATGCTACACGGATACTTACAACCCCACAAACGACTTATATCCCGACACAGCTTCCTCGATTCTGTCCCACCACCTGAACAGAATCCTCCACCATCAGTCAAGCCCGTACTCATCAAAGGTCTTAACCTGAAGTGGCCGGAGTGGCAATGCCTAAATCGAATGCGGACGAGAATGGGACGGTGTAAGGTCAATATGGCAAGATGGGGCTATGCCCATGAAGGAGATACTCTCTGCGACTGCGGAGAGACTCAGACGATGGACCACCTCTTGCAGTGCGGCGGAACGGGTTGCACAGATGAAGACCTGTCCCTTGTTAATGAAACGGCCATTGCAGCAATCGAGCGATGGAAGAACTTAATTTAATTTAATTTACTTCCAAGTTAAGGAACTTTACATTACTATCTTGATCTAAGGAGACACGAACGAACGAAGCTTGTAAGAAACAAATTCCACATGTCCATACTACGTCTTGATAATACAATTTGATTTCTGAACTTAACTCCACATTGATTGATTGATTTAAAGGTTTCAAAGAGAAAAGTTCATGATCCCATCATCGCAGTCAGACAACTGAATTGACATAAATAACAATCACGCATATGTTTGGGGGTACAAGAAATAATTTATTCAACGCATAAGAGAATTGCTGCTCACCTCTTGAGCAGACCTCTCTTTCTTGTCGATGCCTTCAGCCAGTGAGTCCCATGACCTAGCAGTCAACATACAAGCAAAGATACCATACATCTGCCCAGCTCCTAGGGCCATACTATAGTGCTTGATTCCCTCAAGATCAGCTGCTAAGATGGACTGCCACAGACGAGAGTAGTCCAGACGAAATTCATCTGTCAGGGTCTGAAGGATAAGAATAGCACATTATACTATTATCAGGGATGCCAGTTAGAATTGATCAGAGGGCCTGAAAATCACCTAGAATGAGCTATTTTGTTCACAAAAAAGCCTAAACTATGGTCTGAAAATAACTCGCCAGGGCCTGAATTCAGGCTATTGCCTGAAAACTGGTATACCTGTATTATTTAAGACTTTCTAAAAACATGAAAGGTACACTTTTACATTTGTATAACAACATGCATCTGAAGTGCAGAATCTGTGAAATTTTAGCTGTGATTGATTGCTATGGGAGTGTGGGTTTTCAAAATTTGAATGATATCAAAATTGCAGGATTCCATTTACTTAAATTGATAATCCTTTTGGCAAGCAATTTTCAGTTTGGAGGACTATGGATTCCAATCCCAATATCATGTTTTTGCCCTGAAACAAAAGCATTATCTCAAAGTTTATTTCTTGACCAATGCATAGTGAACATAATCCTGTTAGCAATTATTCTTGAGTGCTATTTAGTAAATACTATCTTAAATCAACAAAAAGAAATACAAGGTACACATTGGCTTTGTTTAAAGGCATCGTTTAATAATGTTAAATCTGAGATGCAGGGCCCTACGTATTATCAGTGTCTGTGATGTGGTGAAATAATGAAGCCCTAAAAAATGAGCTTCAAAATGATCAAGAAGTGCCTCAAAAAAGTAAAAATCTTTGAGTGACCGGTTTTACCATACTCCTTTTCCCCAATAGACTGTAGTGTTATGAAAACCGTTTGGCAAACGGTTTTCAAAATTTGTAATTCCAATCATAAATATCTTGATAATCAGACAGGCGATCGGCTTGTGAAAGTCATGGAGTTCCTGACTGACCTAAAGGTTTATAATTATCATTGCAGCATGAGCTAAATCCAGGATTTTGATTCAGAATCTAAGACAAAGTTACCGGATCCCTTTAAAATGCATTTTTATCATAATTTTTTTCAACTCCATTGCGCAAGCACATACCTGATACAGACCATGGTCTAGTAGAACAATCTCTACTTCTTTCTTGTCATTGTGTCGTATAAGTACATTGCCAGGATGTGGATCACAGTGAACAAAGCCATTCACAAATATCATCTCACTGTACATCTTGCCCAAGTTCTTGGTGATCTGCAAAAAAGGAAAAATGAAGAGAAATCAATGAGAGGTTAATCTAACAAGCAATACATCTGAGTAATCTATCGGCACTCTTATTTCATCCCTTCTTATCACAAACAGGCTTACTTGACAAGACTTGAATATAAATCCTGTTTAGTACATGCTTCAATTGATCAAAGCTAAGCTTTTTAAGATAAACATGTTATAGTAAACTGAAACTTCAGCAACTGCCTTCATAGAATGACCATCTGTCTATAAAGATCTCACTTCTTTTTTTTTTTTTAGGGGGGAAGGGGGGGGGGTTAAATATTGTTTCATATTGAAACATTTACTGAAGTAACCTGCCTATAATGGTCACCCACTTTTAATATAAAAATGTCTCCTTTGAGTGGTCTTTAGATGCAGGATTTACTTCAACCCATATCCATAGTTAAAGGTCTTGAGCTTCCTACCTGGTTTACATCAATGCCCATCTGATCCATGTATTCCTTGTTATCTACTTTTCCTCCATTACAGTACTCCATGGTTAATACTCTTGATGTAGAGTGTTTCCAATAAATGCCTGGAACCTACAAAGAGATAAAGGTAAGATATCAATGATACAGCTCAGGAAATACAGAGGCAAAAATGAAAACATTAATAACTAGATGGACCTTCAACTGCGCACAGTTGAAAATGATGCCTCCGCCATGGAGCAATTTTAAAACCAAAACAAAGGCAATTTTAAAATTAAGTTTGATTGCAATCCATTAAAAGGTTCTCAGAATATTGTGATTACAAGCTATGTTTGACCCTTTGATCTTTGACCTCATGACCCTAAAATCTCTGCAAGATATATACATGACCTAAGTTTGGCATGAATCCATCAATGGGTTCTTGAGATAACACAATCACAAGCTATTTTTGCATACATAATGAGCCCTGTGACCTTTGATCTTGGATCTTGTAACCCAAAAATCTAATCAGTTCATTGGCTCTGCAAGATACATACATGACCTAAGTTTGGCGGGAATCCATCGATTGGTTCTTGAGATAACGCGATCACAAGAATGGGATTTACGGACGGACAACCCAAAAACATAATGCATAACAGGCATAAAAACAATTTTCCACTAATTTTGGTGGACTAACTGTTAATTTATCTGAGTAAGATAAGAGTAAGAATAGGCTAAATGAGTAAGCACCAAGATCACCTTTAGTTTAACTCATATCATAGAAAACTGAATGCTTTGCCCAAGGTTATGAGCACCTGGCCTTATATTCCAATTTGTGACATGCTGGTTTGATAATCACTTTTTACCTACAGAGCCACCAATTTCTCTATAATAGGCCATAGTGTAGCAGAGTGTTTCTGAATACTGTTCTATAAAAACGAAAATGGGTACTGTCAGAAGCAGTGCATTTTATTTCGCAGGATACATGGGCAATTTTTTGTCTGACAGGTTTTATTCACAGGCTAACATCATTAGTTTGACTTGGATTGACTTGCTAAACTAATAATCTCACCTCATTAATGTTTAATCATTAGAGGTGACAGGAAGTGATTCAACAAGCTATCATGAAAATCTAATCAAATACTGCTACCTGTTAGAGTCAATGGTTGAATTCTATAATTTACCTTTAGGAATTTGAAATGTTTCAGCATTTTAGCCACTTTTTCTGCATTCTTGCCTTCTTGGACGAAGTCCAACTCTATCGGAAGCTTTTCTCTCATTTCTTGTGCCAGCCAGAGCAACTCAAATTCTGGGAAGATTCGAGCAACAGCATTCAGCAGAAACTGTTACGTGATTTAAAAAACGACAACAATATGATGAAGAAGACAAATTAAGGAGCATACGGTACTGTGTTCTTCACTGACAGGCTTGAATCAAATACATTATGTAATTTTGGCACCAATCTTAAAAATATGATAATAAACACTGTTATCTAAAAATTAACGAGATATATGTTTTATAGGGTATTTGATCTGAAGAAAAAACGCTACATTGAAAATATATATATTATATTTTTGATCAACTACTCTGTTATCATTATTTTTCAATTTACAATGACAGTAGTTGACAAAAAGCTTATTAATTGACAGACAGATTTACTCTTCTTTCTTTAAAGAGACAAAAAGTAAAATCAATGTGAAGTTAGGACGATATCCAAGTCATCATTTTTGCATTCAAGGAAAAGCATATTCTATGAAGACAAAATACATAAGAAGGAACGAAAGAAAATCTCAATCACTAGATGACTGCCTAACTCTTCCAAATTTATCCAAAATAGACACTTTGCAACAATATGTCAATCATTTTACAAACCTCAACTGTACTCATGTCCACCTCCGAGTATGATTTGACGTTAGGATGCTGTACTTTGACAGCCACCATGGTACCATCCTTGAGAAGTGCAGTGTGGACCTGGGCTAAAGAAGCTGTACCAACAGGTTCTTCAGAGAACTCACTGAACAGATCATCAGCCTAATGTAAAGAAGATGATGGAACAAGAAACCGACTTCATTATTTCATCCAACAACACTCTACTTCATCTTATATTCAGTACACAACAATCAACACACTTTCTTTTTCAGAGTGAATGGGCTCTGAAATTTCAAAATAATAGATAAAGCATACCTTGGTACAAAAATTTAATCTCTCCTTAGTGAAGGCAAACAAAAGAGGTAATCAATTTGTTTAATATACTGAGATAACTTTGGCCTACATCCTAATTCATCCCATCAACTATTTTCTGAAATGTTCAACTCAGTAGCATGGGTAGATTAATCATTTATCTAGTGTATGCTGGATTGCAGACGGTATAAGAGCAACAGTTTATTACATAGAACCATAAGTTCTAAAGTTACAGCTCATACATCCATTTATACACAAATCCCAGAATTCAGTGTTCCAACCTTTATCATACATTTCCCAAATTGCACTATTGCACCAATCTTTATATCAATTCCTATACAATTTCCACTGAATGATATTCGCCTTCACGGTTCACCCCTATTCCCTTTGATTACATTGAAATAGAATAGTGATTACTAGAACAAGAGCCTTACCAGAACCCCCAAGTCCTCTGCAACAACCTTCTTAATGTCCTTGAGAGACGACTGTGGGGCGTCGTTATGTAAGACCTTCATCGTACTGACATATTCCTCAGGCAATAGATAATCAAGAGCTCCAACATGTTGACCTAACTTGATGAAGATTCCTCCATTCTTACAACACAGTCTGTGTAGTCTCTCAGCAGATCTCTTGTGGATCTGTCAAAATGTAAACAAATTTATCAATTACCATGCTACACGTATGGTGTCTATCGATGAGAATGGGTGAACATGTCATCGTAAATCCTTGGTATTGAATGATTCTACAGCAATCCTGTTTGTATTAGATATTTTATCAGTTATGTTTATGAATGAACATGAAGGAGAGGACAAAGCAAGTAAAATTGATTACTTCTATCAAGAAAAATAATCAAGTAATCTTTCTATTTAACCAATTGCCTACTGGAAAGTTGTATACAATAGGATAATTCAGGAGACAGTAGTCAACTGGTTAAATGCAGTTTTTGTTTTTAGTTATATTATCTTATGAGATGCATCATCAGGAGTTCAACAGTATCTGTGAATCACAAGCTCTAAAACATTTCTGACACAAAATATTAATGATTTAAATATATGAGCTATGTGGCATGATTTACAAAAACACCATTTGATAAAAAACAAACTAAGAATATGTTTTCTAGTTTCTACCGTCAAAGGTGTATTCATTCATTTATTTTCATGACCCTCCTTTGATTTTTTTACCTACACAAATCAGCAGCTGATTTCTACTTACCGTTGACATCATCTCCCTGTAATCTGGAGAGCCTGATTCCTTTCCCCTCATGTTCCATTTATAGTCCACTACAATTGCACCAGCCTGTAAGATTCAGATTCATATCCAGTTCACATTTCATACCGTACTTTAATTTCTGTAAACATTAACAAATTAACATTATTTCCACAGATTTATGAAGGGGAAAGAGAACTGAAAAATATGAAAAGCTTCATGGTCCTTGTCAGGTAATCTCATTCCTTTGAAAGAAAATACAGTATAAGGTTTATGCCATAAATAATGATAGCATTTAAATATCCACTAAAATCAAGAAAGTTTGAAATGGGTTATTATTGTTGGGGTACAACACTCATCTCTATTAAATATTCCACTGCCATTAAGATTCATACTATTATTATAAAAAAATAATGAATCTATTCTATTATGACATTTGCTTCTATAAGAAGAACAAAATATACTTTTACCTTTTAGATATATGAAAAAAGGTATCATCCTTAAACTTGTTTATGCACAAGTCCTAACTCCTCTATTTAGTATAATTAAATGAGACACAAAGAGGAAAACTCACTGAAAAAAATGCTCGACCAAATCTGACTACGCCCACTGATGACCAGTCAATGTAGCCTCTGTCTGTAGCTATGGCAACACCTGCCCCTCCAGCTCCACCCAGAAGAGATAATGTCATCCATGGTCTGCGCAACCCGCTTCTGAGAAATCCTAGAGCCATGATGCCCCCAAATCACTCACTCAAGTCTCTGAAAAGTATCAATCGTGTCAAACAAAGTAACTACAACCAGAAAGGCAGAAGTAGAGTTGATGCTCTCTTTCAATCATTCATAATAATGATGCAATAAAGTTCTGTTCCCAACTCACTCTAGATCCTAATCAAATGATTGGTAATGCGCGGTCACGTGTGATTGATTTACTGAGACTATCCGTCTATCCCACGTCTTTCATGAAAAAGCATGCAATAGTTTTCAGTACTATCCAATGATTTAAAGAGTGCAGCCCACATATGAGCTTATTTGTCAGCCATACTGTCACAAAACAATCTTGAATGAATTCTTTTTACATCAAATAAGAAGGATCTACTTGAGGAGTTTCGTGGTACAAAACAAATGATGCATGTTTTCATTTGTTCATTATATGATCTATCCGCCCTCGTTGAGGCTGTATATGTATCTATCGCACTCAGCCTAATGGAACGGCTTGGTGCGATAGATACACACAGCCTCAACTCGAGTGTGGATAGATCTAATAATGAACTCATGTGCATGCATCATTAGTATAATAATCAATAGAGTAATAATAATAATTATCGAACCAGTTCAGACGAGAGGTCGAAATGCACATTCTTTGGCATTGTATTTGTACTATTGTAAAAGAAGAGAGAGGAGGAGTAGGAGTAGGAGGAGGAGGAGGAGGAGGAGGAGGAGGAGGAGGAGGAGGAGGAGGAGGAGGAGGAGGAGGAGGAGGAGGAGGAGGAGGAGGAGGAGGAGGAGGAGGAGGAGGAGGAGGAGGAGGAGGAGGAGGAGGAGGAGGAGGAGGAGGAGGAGGAGGAGGAGGAGGAGGAGGAGGAGGAGGAGGAGGAGGAGGAGGAGGAGGAGGATCGAGGAGGAGGAGGAGGAGGAGGAGGAGGAGGAGGAGGATCGAGGAGGAGGAGGAGGAGGAGAAGGAGAAGGAGAAGGAGAAGGAGAAGGAGAAGAAGAAGATCGTTCACAGGAATAGAGATTTTCAAGAAACAATCACAATATAATGAAAGGTAGGGAATAAAATTTAGAAAACCCCACGCGGATTCCAACAGGTGGGACAATATCCGAGCAAATTGGGTGGACTCTTTCTCTTCGCTTCGTGTAGACTTTCTATCTACACGATTCCTTATCAAAACGGTTTTAAATTGTCAAAATTATCTAATTATGTTTTTATTAAGGTTGATAACATAGTGCATGAAGTCGTTGTTCTTCAAATACTTACCCGTGATTCGTGAAGAAAGGACCAGCCGCTAGCCGCATATCCTAGAAATTACGTAATTTTCATGTGGTTCAAGTCGTTTAGTTGTTATTTCTAAGCTGTAGTCATATTTTGTTAAATTCAATCAATTCAAATTTTATTGGTCCAAAATATAACATTATTCTAATATTATGCTTGGTGTTTTATATCATAATGTTGCTATTTTATTATATTTACAAAACCCATTATATGTATAAAATTTCCACATGCGAATCACTATGAAGGTAAGATACAGCATTGAATGAGGCTAAGTAATTCTTCCACTTTATACCACATGCACATGATAATTTGAGATGGAACAAACAATAGCGACATATAAGTGCTATGTCAGACATGTCAGACTAAACTAATATTCTAGAATAGACTATGGTATGTAATTTCCCCCAGCTTAGCACACGTTCATAATAGAATTGCATGCTTCCATACATATACAATACAAGATTGCCTTAGTCTTCATGGGCCCTTTAAGACCATCGGTATTATCAACACTTGTTGGCTGGCTGCACCACACACCCGTTTTTGTTCTTTTGTTTTGTTTTTTGTTTTATATACTGTAACAAATGTATTATGTAAAGGGAACCTTAATTACAAGCATAATGCTTCCAAGGTTTCCTCCACATTACTGCAGATAATCGTTAGCATCATGACTTGCCATTACATCGTTTTTATTACTGTTGTATCAATCGAATATTATGTACATGTTTTGTTACCTTGTGCCTTACTTTGTAAATTCTCTTCATTATGCAGTTAATGTGGAAATAAAACCTTAATTTTTTTTTTTTTTTTTAAAGTCGATTCGATAACTATATGGTCGTTATTTTCCCACTAAAAGCGATTTTCAAACCCTTTCGTTTGATATAGTCTTTCAAATTCCATCGGAATTTAACCTTTTCATTTTTTTGGTCTGCAAATTGGACATAATTATAGCACCTTTAAATTATCTCTTTCTCTTATTCCTCGATCTTCGTTTTGATATCCTCTCCCCATTTTTTCTTAAGCTCAAAAATGCGATCTTGACTGTTGCGTTAATTTTTGATTCCATCCTTCTGATGAAAAACTCATGAGCTCTACTCTTGTTAGATAAAAGTTCTTATTTTATCCCCCTTTTTCGGCGTTTTTTTTTTCTCCAAATGATCACTTTTACACTAATCGAGCAGGCTTTTCTTCGGACAAGATGGAACTATCTCGGGCACAACCAAAATAGCTGTTAAGGATATTTCACGTACGGTTGTACCAAACTATTAATAAAACAGTGGCACATCCGACTGAGAGGACCGGGGGGGGGGGGGCATACTGAGGAAAATGTTCCCCCAGGAAAACTCAATCTAGCATGCCATAATAAGTACAGAAAAGGTGCATTGCAGAAGGGTGATAATACAACATCGATACTTAACGATTTTGTTTCTTTCTCTTTTGTTTGTTTTTGTTTGTTTGCCAGAGAATTATCTTCTTGTAATGATAAAAACGGGGAGAAAAAAAAAAGTGAGACCCCACCCCCTTTTTTTCGGGGGGGGGGGTGCTTTGCAAATTTTCGTGATAGAGCCTATATTTAGCTTCCCCAGACTTTCGCGAAAATCTTGGGTTATCCGATTAACAGTTCAATAACATGATTTATGAAAGTTATTTTACTTAGGCTTGGAGATGTTTCAATTAATGTAATTGGGGTAATCAATCCATAACAGTCAGAGGAATTTTATACCGTGAAATCGAATGAGGTATATATATTTTGCTTATTATGGATGAACGCATGTTGGAGACTTGAAAGAGGCGCTCATGAAGGAGGGATGTCAATTTCTGTTGACAAATTAGCTTTAATAATTATGCTGTCGGCAAATCACAAAACAAGAATTTTATCTCTCTCTCTTTCTCTCTCTACCTGTTGTCTGCTACATCTCTCCCTGGTTCTCATTTCCCTCAAACTTTAAATAATTCTCCCGCACATATCTATATTTATAAAAAGAATCATTATAAATTATTTTCAGTACATCCCATTATTATACTCCTCTCAATAATAATATTATTCCAACGCGCATCCATCTCTTTACATCTATTCCCTCTCTGTCTGTATGACACACACACACACACACACGCACTCTCTCTCTCCCTCTCTCTCTCCTCATCTATAGTTCTCTGTGCCTATATACGTACTCACTGTTATCAAATTTCATACTACTGACATTCTGACACTATAATATTCACCCCAGCAAATTCATTCATTCTCCCCTGTCTTTTCTTCACACGCACGTTTTCCCTGTATTGTGCTCTCTTCCCTCCCCCTCTCTCCTTTTCATTTCTTCGACCATACCCCTTTTTGTTTATCTTTTCTATTCAACCCAAAGAGACGAGGCGCTTAAATTGCATACTGAAGGTCTCTCGCCCCGTTCTTAAATAAGCTCGACATACTAACGCACGCAAAAGGTATAGGGAATAAAATCAATACAAAATGACCAAGAGGATTCTTGTGGCATGACTCATCACCTCCATGTTAAAAGACTACATGAATTATAAATTAATTATACTCTGGAAAAAGTTATCTTGCATTAAACATTATAATTATATAATGCGATGTAAGTCGAGTGTTTTCTTTAACCAAACTATACACATGGGACACTTCGTTTTCATGGACTTTTGAAAACAAAAGTATTAATGAGCTGTTGCATGTATTATATTATTTACCGGGATTATTTACTGTGCAAGCTCACATCATAAAGTTTGGTAACCTATAATAGACCAACTGCTAAAGAAATAGTTAACATTTTTCGGATTTCAGCTTAATCTTTCTTGAACAAGTTGAAAGAAAAATTTAGCTGAATCTGAGTATGGTCTACTTCTGTCTACGGGCCTAAAACCAAGTGTCAATTATGTTTTCCATTTTCATAATTTCCTAATTAACAACAAATCACTCGAATAAAACCGCATTGTTCCGTTTCAAATCAGGAACTGCTTATTTGGTTATGTTGGCAAACTCTTTTGAAAGCCAGACATATTTTCTGCCGAGTACCCACAACACCGACAGGCATTGCGGACGATTAATTCTCAATACACAACCCAACTAATTTCAAAGATTGTCCAATTACATGTTCGTTTCACTGAATTTTCACAATACAAGGTAAAACATTGATCTAAAAAGATCCAAACAGGGTAAAACTGGGTAAACACGTCTGCTTTCATACCGCAGGCCCGCTGTATGATCACGCCTTTATTAGGCCTTCTAGTATTGTCATTCAACACAATAACAACCAAGATCAAGGAAACCATGCAGACTATTGAATGGATATAAAGCTTTTAAAACCCACTCTCGGAATACAGAATTTGGGAACATTGGTAAAAGCATTCACTATGTTATGACGTGGGAACTCTCTCGTGGGTTTGAACTGCACATTCTACTTAGTATTTTAAGTCAATACTGGACTATACTAACAAGGTTGTTTGTTTCTGTCTGTGGAATGTCTATCCGATTAAATGGAAAAGGTTACTTGCATTTGTAATAGACCAGAAGAAAAAATGAAACTATTAAAAGTAAAATGACATGGACTAGAATTATCACAGCGAATGTATGGATTATAATGCTAAAACTCCCAGTAGAACAACAAATATGTTCACTGGTCTTCTTCTCCCCATGCAGATCCACCTGTAGAATATTTTCTTCTTTTTGAACTTATTAACAGTATAGTCATCGACTTGAAGCTTTAACTGCCGAGACCTGCATGTGCATGAATTATATTCTTCTAGAAACTGAAATAAAATTAAAGGTAGAGTCACTTTTTACACGTGTTTTATTTCTAACCACATTTGATTTACAGTTGATTTGCAGCTGATGAATTAAACATTAATACCGGTACATTATCAAAAACGCTGTGAACGATCGACAAACTTTGAGGCATGTTAATGTTAATGATTTTTTTGTTAAAGTTACATAAATTGATAAAAGGTGATCGTGATGGGGCAAGACATTACCCCAAATTGTACAGAGTTGGTACGACACATACATCATGTCCTTATCTTCTAGGGCAATCTTTACCCAGTAATATCATTTAAAAATCTTCATGGCCTTCCCTGCATAAGAGCATAATAGCCGTACTCAGACTAATGTACACACTTAGAAACAAAGGTACAATTCTGCTATCTAAAAATTAAAATGTTAAATCTCAATTAAAAAGAGCTGAGGAGTGACCACTCTTTCAAAATGTCAGAATGATACTTTTAACTTGCTGGAATCAACTAACTATTGGATCCAGCTTGTTCAAAGTGTTAATACACCATTTTAAAAGAGTGGTCACTCCTCGGCCCTTTTAAATGGTGATTTAACATTTCAGTTTTTAGAGTCACAATAGCACCATCCTCTGCCAAAATAATACGCGTAGGTGGATGCAAATCTGCACCCCATTTGCACCCTTATTTCTTAGTGTGTATAATACAAAGAAGAAAGGGCCATGGAACGGTTGGGTATTATTTTTCAGGCTTATACAAAAGAGAGAAATTTACTTTGATTTTAATCCATATTTCAGATTGAATAACAGAAGGAACGTGACAAATAAAGTTCGAAAATATAATTTGGGATCATTCTAGCATGGGCCCACGATATTGTCCATATAACCTTTATAATGGAGTTTTCTGCATTTACAAAATTTAATGTATATGTCTTTTAAAAAATAAGTCAAAAGCAGCATTCTTTCAATTCATTAGAAGTTTGGCGTCACTTCTTTAGATTCTACCGAATGAAAAGACATGGTTCAAAAAGTAGCACTCGGACACCATTGTTATCTTCTTTTAGCCTTCCATAGCAATAGCAAGTGTAAACAATATTATTTTGCTATTTTCATTGTTCGTTGTCATGCATCAGCTATATCTCAAAGACATGTCTCCTAAAGTTTGAGGAGCCAAGAGTTTAATTGCTGTCATGAACTTTGATGAGTTATGATGCCCCTGATTTGAACTATTCACATGAACTTACTATCCATAAAAAGTTTAACACTTTGAACATGATAAGTCATAACTTCAGTCTTGCATCAGAGCCGAATATGATTGCAGAAAGAAGAAGAAAAAAAACTCGAAAATATGTATTTGCACTTTGGTCAGAACATATTCTATAAAGTCGCATAAACTTACCCTAATATACTGGTAGTATAATATAGCTGAAATGTTAGTCACCCAAAATACTTAATAACGGCTTGCAAAATAATTATAACGCATATCCCCGATTTCTACATAATTTACAAAGCCTGATTCCATTATCCCGGACATTATCCATTCCTGTCATGTATGAAGGCCGTATGCACATGATCGTAAGCCCGTAATGGTTCTATTTTATTTCTAGTTTGAAGAATTAGACCTTTCCCTGTCTTTATTCATTGTAATCATGATGGTACATTACTGATATAAAAAAAAAACATGCAGTCAGAGTCATTTATAACAAATAAATCCTTGCTTCTATACAATTATATAATACCATGATCTTTTAGCCTTTCTTGTATTACAGTATACGGTGACCCATTAATTATTCCAAGAGTCGTCAAGTAACCTGGTTCAATATTTAAGCTCAATATGGTTGACTGCCGAGCGTATCATACTTGATATTTCAACTGGCAAAGATGGCATCTGGAATTCAATATTTACAGACATTGTTCCATATAAACTTTACATTTGTAATTGCACACCGCGAATGGAAGAAAATCGCGTGATGTCTATAACAAAAATGAGGTCTGTTATTAAAGCCATATAAAACGTTCTGGAAGACGTTAAATAAACTAGACACTGCACACTGTTGGCAAGCTGAATTTCACAAACACAGTTATGTCATTCACGAATAGATAGATGGAATGAACGTCATCCACTCCAACGAGCTGACTGCATCATTTGACGATGGCACCGAAGAGGACCCGTGAAGATAAGATGAAGACAGAACACTATTCGATGTCTTGTGTTTCTTGTTGGATTCCCATCTAATAGGCTTGGTTTGCATGACCACCACACACTCTTCCAGGCACTCCAACACCTCTGCGATACTCGTCAAAAGGATGCTCTCTCGACGTCGAAGCAACGTGGCGGCATCGGGAGAGACCAGGAGACAAGCAACACAATGCCTGATGTCGGGTACGGAAAAGTGAACGCGAGCGTCGCCGACTGCAACGTGACGCTGGATCTCTCTCGGAACATCGCTCACCCACGAAACGTCGACGTCGTCGTCGCCTATCGTGAAAAATGCCTTCAACGCCGTCGAGATCAAATCTGTCTGGACTTCACGAAGCAGAGATGATGCTCCATCTACAATCTGCAAAGTTAGACGAAGGCTAATAGAAGCTTCGTGGAAGTGCGATGCGATCCTGATGTACCTCATCGCTGACTCTACCGTCTCTCCACAATCTTCCAACCTATTTCGGTACGAGTCGTCTCTCTTTCGAGTTAGAAATTGCCAGAGTGATTTCAGTGGCCAGGCTTTCGATGCGATTTTCCTATTGACATTTGCAACAAATCTACTCTTCCTGCTACTGTTACTACTAAGACTAGTTGAGGATGAAGACGATTTGTTCGTTTTTCTCTTGATGGTACTTCGTCTAATGGTGTTGAGGTGCTCGGTATCGCAGTAAGCAAAGGAGGAGGTAAAATCTCTATTCGACATCGCTTCGAATGAATGATTTGCTGGAAGATGACCACTTGTACTCAAATGGATCGGGGCCTCCTTTAACGAATAATCGGCAAGGACCTCGTCCACTTGTTCCTCATCACACTCACTGAACTCTCCTCCGCTGTCATACTCCTCGTCGTGACTATCAATGTCATCCTTTGAGTCAAGGTTCCACCTGATCTTGTGCTTTTTACAACCAGCGCTACATATTGGGACCGCCTCTTTGGTATAAGACAACCCATCATCGCTGTAAGAGAAGAAAGTTACTTCACCTTTGTCGATGTCATCATTGTCAATAATACAAGAGTTCCCTGAGTAGTCGTTGATCGGTGTCTCGTGAAACCCAAGGTTATCAATGTTCCTCTGTTTCGTATGCGAGCTCATCTTTGAATGACTTGGTTTTAAAGTCTTGAATAGTCTCAGAGATTTTCTTTTGACACTGCATCTGAAGCTGTGTCGGATGGTAGACTCTACTTTATTCTTCGTCGGTTGTAAAGTTCCATAGTGTGTTGCGCTGTTGTTGTTCTTTGGCACGCTATCCGACCCGGTTGTGGAGGAATCCCCAGATGAATGGCGTTGTGTACGAGATGCTGGTAGTGTGTAAAACTTGCAGTCCGTTTGGATGGTTGAGACGTCTTCGACAATCACTCCTATGTCATTCGACATCATCGATTCGGTTCTCCCGTCTCCCGTCGGCCATTGTATGGCTGCCATTGAGCTGTGAGGATGAGAAAGAAAAGAAGGCATTATTCACCTCAAAGGGGCTGTACAAATCAATAAAGCTTACAGTATAGCAGGACTGAAATCGTAGATCTCCGGGTGGTAATCTTATCAAGCCAACCATTTTCTTTTATTTACCTTGTTATCAAGCAGCCGCGGCACCTGGTCATCTTGATGATATAGCATTAATATACATTAATTCAACTCTATCCTGCACGGTACAGATCCGTTCTCAAATCTGACTATAGCAACATGTTGCCCTATTGGCATGACCCCGTCGTTCTGCGCTGACACAAAAACGAGTTGAGGAATAAATATAGCCAGATCACAACAATACCACGAACGAACAAAAGGGATCGCTTTTGGGGGTAGCCCATTCCAAATAGTATAATAGTCGAAAGAAATCTCCTTGATTTGTACATGCCTAAGTGGTTTTGCTGAATTTGGTTTTCGTTTACCGGTCCGTGTTCTGTATAGTTTGGTATTGACAGGAGTTATCTGAATATAATTAGTAGGGTGTAACGCATACATGTCTACCCAAATCAAGGTAGTTCTGATCACTCGAGCAAAGCGATTTAATCCGATTGGTCAGACATGTTGCTATATGTTACAATATCAGTAATCCTTGAGGTTTATCTGGAAAAGCCTATTCCAAATGAATCGTCTGCATTTTTGTTGTTGTGTATGTGTCGTCTTACTCTGTAGGCTGCAGGTAACTAAAAAAATAGTTGGATTTAAAATCTGCAACATACACTATTAGCATTATGTTATGTGCACAAGCATGTAGGCCAAGTATTAGGTCAATACCATGACCTGGGAGTATACTAACTTTTTAAAACCTTATGTTCTTGTTTTTTCACAAGCAGGTAATATCAGCTTTTCTTATCCACCATTTTCACTCTCCCCTTCAAAAAAGATAATCACATCAAGAATGCACAGATTCGCTATCCTCCGGGCTTTGGTTTTGCATGACAGAATAAAGAAAAATGTTAGTTGTCACAGGAGATTCCTACAAAATAATACAGCTCGTAAAAGGGGGGAAGGTGGCTTGTGCCCCTAATTTGATTTCCAAAGGAAAATATGAATAGAGAGAAATGAAAACTAGAAAGAAGAGAGAGCATAGGAGAGAGAGAAGGGGGCAAAGGAGAGAGAGAGAGAGAGAGAGAGAGAGAGGGGGGAGAAGAGAGAGAGAGAGAGAGAGAGAGAGAGAGAGGGGGGGGAGGAGAGAGAGAGGGGGGGGGAGGAGAGAGAGAGAGAGAGAGGGGGGTGGGGTGCGTGATGACGACAGGAGCCGGACCCCTCGTTTCTATACCCTCCCATATTCGGTGACTCTATTCACATTTCATACACATTTAGTATAAGAACGGAACCCCTCCCATTTTGATGCCCGTCTCCTCAAATGGCTGGGCCTCGCAACTCAACTGACCACATCAAATAGTAAAGTGGTCATAAGTATACATTATGAATTGATTTTAATAAGATACTATAATAGGTATAGACCGATACACAGGCGCGTACCCAGGTTGGGGGTTGAACCCCCCTTTTGACTTTTTTTTATGTGTGTGTTTTTGAGGAACACCCCCCCCCCCTTAGCGTTTTTTTTTTAATTAAAAAAAAAAAATGATGGTAATGGGTGACCCCAAAAAAACTGACCTTACCCCCCCCCCTCGAAAAAAAATCCTGCGTACGCCCCTGCCGACACGAACATTTTAGTAGACTGCAGACTACAAAATTAGTTCCATATCAACGCTTTACTTTGGCTTAACTCTAAGAAAGAAAAAGAAGTCCAAGAAGTCTATATAACATATCTGAAATCCATTTTGTTTTTGTTATCTTTCTAACTAATGAATTGTTTGAAAACTGGATAAAATTTAATCACTAATATCTCCGTAGAAAAAGGGAAATCCAAAAATGCTATCCCTGCTTGATTTCCACCTTGATTTTATAAAGCCTCCTCTGGTAATTTATCCAAAATAATTATGCCCTTTCATTAACAATAATTATTATCACCTGCTAATTAGTCATGGCTAATTTTGTTTTCAAGGGCATTTCTGAGAGCACAGGCTAATAAATACGAAACGAACAAAATGTGTAACAAAATTATGTTCAAATTATGTCGAAAGCGTTAATCGCTATCACAGTGAATTGCATTAAAGTCAGTTTTCTTTCTTTCTTCTGGAATGAAGGCAATTCATTTTTTATCATCTCAAAATCCCATTATTATTTCCCCCAACCCTGTCATGCTTCGGGAACCCAATTTATGTCATAGTTTACGACAGTACAGACAAATTTGCGGCAAGCTATACCAAAACATATAGGCCATTCTGTATATACTGTACATGACATGTCCCATTTGCAGCCAACATCAAACTAATAATGTCACGTACATTATATACATCTGTTTAATTCTAAACGTTAGCAGTGCCCCGGTATTCAAATTATGCAGGGAAACCCGTTTCTTTCTAGACTTCACTGTTTAGACACTGTTGAATGAATGGCTGACTTTGTTTTTCTTTGGTAAAACATACATGAGCTGTGAAGAGTACATGAGCATTATTTTGCCTACATCCATAACACACTTCTTGTAATGGCCGAAATTAAATTGATTGAATCTTTGCACAGCTCAGAACGTACGACCATTTGGTACAAGGGTCTAAATATTTACTAAAAGGGTTCCAATCTCGGTCGTTATTCCCCCCCCCCAAAAAAAAAAGCCATTTCCAAGCCCTTTTGTTTCGAGGAAAGTCATGAATTAGTATTATCTTTCAAGATAATGCTGGTGGAATTTAACCTTTTCATTTTTGGGGCCTGCAAATGGTTAGTAGTAGTACCTTTAAAATCTCGACGACAATTTATCACCCTGTACAAATGCATTGTGAGGATTTATTTATCGCATTTCACGCTATTATACGCACTGTATAAAAAAAAATCACCACAATGGTACACATTCCCCAAAAGATGCATAATGCCTAACAGAAGAAAACAGTGACAATTTTTTGAATCATACTGTATTATTATGTAGTTTGAATTCATATTCGTTTTTATGCATCTATACCAACAAGCTTCAATTTGCATAGTATACTGTATATGAACTCGACCTAAATATCCATCTTTCATCGGTGGATGCCGGATTCTTTGCGGGGGGGGGGGGTATTATTAGGTCAAGAGATATATGAAGAAAAAAAAAGGTTTATGGTATTATTTTGTTCGGCATACTGTATCTATACTATAGGCAATTGAAGAAAAAAATAGATTGATGATGATGATGATGATGACAAGCATTCTATTTCGTCACACGTCCGAACTTGGAATGACCTCTCTTTCTTTCGGGACAAACAGACCATAAACAAGGCCAGACAATCATTCCTTGAACTGGACGGCGTACTACAGACCAATTAAGGCCAAGGTCACGAAGCTTCATTAGTAGTGTGATGTCTATAGACCAGTGGTGGACATGGACATGGCACTGGACAAAGTACACAGCAGAATACTAATATTCATATTATTAATCTGGATTTATATAGCTCTTAATACCAAATTTCATATAAGCGCTTCACAGATATATTATATATTACCCCGATCATCGCATTCATTTCCCCCGAGAAATTTAACATAACTATCGCTTCTTCTTTTTATATAAAGAATTATATATAATAATTATTTGCATGTCTATTTCCTTTACAAGAAATGGATCTGTCCACAGATTGGTTCATACCGTCCGTGATGTGGACTGCTCTGCAAAATGTGCGAGATAATTAATAAGAAAATGGAATAAAATCTTAATTGACATGCAAATCATTAATTACGAACCAGTTGTAAAAAAAAACGACAATCACTGTGTTTGCAAACTATGTTTTGGGATTGACATGTTCACTTCGCTTCACGTCACACACTGAGATGAACATTACAAAATAAATAAAGACCTAGTCAAACGTGACTACTATATTAGTATAGACACTAATCAACCGAGAATGTGGATCAAATTGTCTTTGATACAAGTCATGTAGTGGGATGATATACAGGCCTGGGGCGGATCTAGGGGGGTCGGCAGTTTGACCCCCCCCCCCCTCCCCTTGGGCGGCCAAGTGAGAAAAAAGAAGGAAAAAGACGAGGAGAAGCAAAAAAAGGGGAAAACAACAAGTAAAACAGTAAACCGGCGCGATTTTTGAAAAATCCTGGATCCACCACTAGGTCAACCCACCCACCCCCCCCCCCCTCCCCTTGGCCAAAAGCTCGATCCGCCCCTGACAAACTATATGAATTCCGGCGAGTAAAAAAAAAATAATTAGATGTCTCTTTGCATTGTATTGTATTATCTATTTATTCACGGTATAAACTCACAATCAGTCATAACAGACTGCTTTTCAGCCAGTCTTTGCTTATCTAATAATAAGTAAAATGAATAACATCAACATTTAGACCATGACGATCGTGTTAAAAAAAAACACACACCTTTGAATTTTGATGATGCGTCAGACTCACTTTCAAGACTGAATGATTACAAAACGGCATTTAAAAAAATAAAATTAACTTTGATTTAAATAAGGCATCAGCTGCATTATTGGGAGCACCGGATTGCAGATTATTATTTAAGTGGTGAAAATCATTATGGTGTGTGACTTTATCCTCGCAGTAGGCGCATCAGACTCAAATTGACTCATATCATGGAAAGTGAATGTCTTATATGGTTCTGCCTTGTCATAAAAACTGAAGAATTGAAAAACATAGGTTTATACATGCTATATAAACAAGAAGCAGTCCCCTCAGAATAAGAAGACTGTTTATTAGTCTAAGTTGAAGTGATGTAAAGAAGGAGAAGAAGATGATGATGATGATGGAGAAGATGGTGATGAGGAAAATGGTGAAATAAAGAAAAAGAGAAAAGAAGAAGGTGAAGAAGAATAATTGTGATACTGTAGCCTAGGTCTATATAGACTGGCATGTGAAAGATGTCAAGACATTAAGCCATGCACTGGGGTACTTCGTTGCTGGTAGAAACAGGATGCACGTAGTGGAGTGAACTAGGCAACCAAAGACCCCCACAAAGCCAAGGGTCATATTTTGTGCAATTCAATCTCAGTCTATACTGCATGTGGAACATGGTTGATTCAAGTTCACGGGTGGTAAACCACTGCGTTGAATGATCTTCTGGAATCAATTGTTATGCATGTTTAGAAATCAACGTGCTATGAGTGGTTAAATCCAGACCATTATTAACAGGTAGGATATGGGGGTTGTGCAACCGGACACTTGACAAAAATAAAGAAGACACGTTTGTTGTTAGATTTATTTAAACAAAAAAAATCATCATAAAATTAATAACACTAAACATCATTAGGCCTATATATTCGTCCTTTACAATATTGTAAAACATATAAGCCTTAACAGATGTATGGAATATTGTATGTAAAGTTCTTCAAATTACTGTTATAAATCAACTGTCCGGACAGCGTCTTGGAAGAGGTCTGTATCACTTTTTCTCAGACGCCGGCTTTCTCTCTGTAAATAGAGTCTACATGTACCTCCTTTTCAGATTACTATTAGCATTCACCTACTGCAATATTCGGAATAATCCAAGGCTTGAACAATCAACATTATGTATTAATTAATCATGCAGTTTATAGCTTTTAAAAAATCTAAGAATGTTGTTAACCATAATCACCACACTCCAAATAATATTCCCATTGTTTGATAGATCAACTCGACAGAGTCTACCTTAAAAAGGGGGGTAGGGTCTATATTATAATTATGTAGGCCTACCTTTTATTTCTTACCTCTTCTTTTGATACTTCCTGAAAATCCAACAAAATATTCATTCTATATTTCTCCCAGTGCAATGCTGCTGTGTGATACAATTCCAAACAGTTTCATCAATAATACCAATGTGGTAGAAATTCGTAGAATATTTCTTCAAACTCCTTTTAGTTTCACTCAACTCTGTTAATGTTTCAAAAACAGCAGCCAAGCGTGAAACTCCTCAAATCACGCCAAAACAAGATGCGCGCTGACTATAATGTTACACACGCAGCTGGCGACAAACAGGTTTTGCTACTTGTGAGAACTAGATCGTCTGCTAGCTATCGCCTTTGCCTTTTGGAGCCTGGGTCTGGGATAAAACATTCTTTAAAATGCCTCTTTTAGCACACTTTGCAAGGAATATGTGCTATCTTTTTCTTCTTCTTGCATACAGTTTCAAAGCAGAGGGGGATGAAAATAGTATACTTAGGTAATGTATTCCGATGAATGTTTGAATGCGAGTGACTGGGTGTGCAGTATAAATCAATAGAGATAAATCAGGTGGCTATTTTCGGTCACGATGTCAACTTGTAACTGAAACTGGGAAGTCCACACTGATAATTAGCTGGTGTTCATTAAAAGCAGAAACACATGAGAAACAGATTAATAAAAGTGTGTGGAAGTCCACCCTGATAATTAGCTGGTGTTCATGGCCATGGTGTTCATAAACAGGATAAAAGCAGAAAAACTATAAAAAAAAGCTTGACTTTGAGTTTGAGCAATAAAAAAAAAGTTATGAATTTTTGAAGTTGTCATTACTGAAACACAAATTGGCTACACTGTGACATGTCTCGTGCAGTCCTCTTCAATTTGCAATATGACAATATAATCATTGGCTCTTACCAACATTTGTATTAGTCTATGTAATTCCCGGAAGTGTCTCAAAAATATGTTATTTTGAGGAATATTGGTAGGGTGTCTGATCGCGCACCCTCGATTTTGTCTGCTAAAATCCTTCCCATAGAGATTGCACACATCCCTATGCAGTCTACATGCGTTGTGCGATCATGCAAAATTGGTCAATGTATTTATTACCTTTATTCATTGTGATCCTGAACGCTATGCACAACAAATGAGGTGTCATATGAAAGAGCTGTTTTTTCTCTGTATGTTCCAAGAGGCGTCATCTCGGAACTCTAAAAATATCTTTAACCAAATGGCGATCTAAACATTGTTTCCATCATAGCTCCGAGACTTCCCACTTTTGAGAAATGACCCCCTGAGGGATAAGTAGTTCCAGTCGTAAGGAATATATCTATGCGCTTATATTTTTTCGCTAGCCCCAAGGTATCATCTATGATTACAGTTTGAAAATAACCTTCCCCCCCTCCTTTGAATCAGCAAAGTGGGGAGGCGTGACTCTGCTCAGCGCAAATTCATGGTGCTAGTGCGTAGAATCTACACATGCATGTATGCAGATAAATGATTATGCTTATGCTTTGTCTATTGCGCGATGCAGATAACTGTTCAGCTGCACAGCTGCTGTTGAGCAAAATGTATAACTCTGCATGTACCACTTTTTTGTCCATTCTGGACAAAAATTGGATGAACATTTCCTAGATTTTTGGTTGGCTGTATCTTTTGATAGAAACGTAGGTGAGTCTTGAAATTTGAGATGTGTTCTACTGAGTAGTCGATTTTGTCAATTATCCAGCCATAATGGTGCAAAACGAACCAAAAGGGAAAATTGAAAAATTGTTCAGACACCCTACTCCTACAACTAACACTTTACTACACTACAGCAACTACTACTACCACTACTACTAATAATACTACTAGTAATACTGCTACAATACTAACTATAATCATAATGATGATAGCCAGTTTCATTGTTATTATTATGACTACTACTTCATCATCTTCATCTTCGTTATTATTGGTAGTACCACCATTAATATCTACTACTTTATCAATATCTATAATTGTATTTTATCTACTTGTAACATAGGGTGGATTTACCATTTACGGCAAACAGGGACGTACCAATTTTTCAGCTCACGGATCGACACCTTACACCAGGGAAAAAAATATTTAGAAAATTTTGGGGGCTCATTTTGAAGCTTGCTTGCATGAAAATAACACTCATTATAACATAGAATAGGCCCATCAAATATCCTTTGCTGATGATAACGATAAGAAAAGTTACCCCTGGCCGGAAGTGACCATAATATAAAATAAACGCTATCAGCGCAAAATTTTCCCATGGTTAAGCTATTCAAACCTTGCCACCAAAATATCTGATCGAATCTCCATATCTCCTTACGTATTATAACAATGCTACATCTGATATTTTTGTTTACCCTTTCCCATAATGCATCACATGAAATCACTTAAATACCGGTGTCACTAGATGGCGCTGTCAATTGTGAATCCAACGTATTGTTGGTCTTTTATACTCTGCTTGGAGCTGTAACACTTGTCGTACTATTACGCAAAGTATTAGAAAGAAGCTCATCGTGCTGTCTCTACAACACTACTGTAATTATTATTATCCCTTTGCCGGCAGTAAATGTGAAAGGTTTATATTCAACATTGTATGGTGTTTTTCAATTTTTTTAAATTTCTACATTGATACTCTGTTGTTTGCCAGATTTTTTAAGGCAGAATTTTGATTTTTCAGTTATTATCTTTAAATATATTCCCTTTCTGATCTAGTTGTCACTTTGATGTTGACATCATACAAAGTCATCACGTTGGCAACAGTCCCATCGTGAGCTCACCGCTGGTAGCAGACATCGATGCCGATGGGACACTTGATATCATCACTACAACATTCGACGGGACAGTTGACGTTGTTGACGGAGAGAACATGAAACCACATTCTAGATCACAGTGGCCCTATCAGTTCCCAAACAGCACAGTACATGCAAGCCCCATGCTGGTATGTATGAAAGGGCACTTTGATCCAAACTATTCTGTTTACTGCTACAGGTCTGACCCTGATTAAGAGTGTTACCTTGATTAGACAATAGAGTATTACTGTGTGGGTTGAACATAGTTCACAGAAGCGATGTAATTTCAAGTATTCATCCTATTTGTTTAGTTTCAATAGTGAATGTGTTACCACAAATATTTTCAGCGGCAGAAATGCAACAAAGAAGTACTTTTGTGATATGGAATGATAAATGGGTCATGGTATTCAATCTTTTGGCAGGTGCAGCTGATAGATTCCCATCGATGTTATACTTTGCTAACCCATCTCAATTTTGCTTTGATGTAATTTGCATTTGTCCTTGACAAGATCTGTTTTCATGGAATGGGAACTGATTAGCCATGTAAAAAATTAACAAAAGGAATAACGTTTTATTCAGAATTCACTTTTTCATGCCGAAATCACATCTATGTGCAGTCAAGTGATAGAAGTGTTTAATCATGCTTCAAGCTTATTTATGTATCATGTGACATCCTAAGTGTAAAAACCAAATCTGTAAAAATCAGATCTGTATTCTGTTCATGAAATGACAAGGCATTACGCATAACCATCTGTCTCCCAGGATGCTTCCCTCGCCTGGTGACAGAGCATTCAATACTGCTGCTCTTAAACTGTGGAATAACCTACTCATATTTCTTTGCAACCTTCAATCTCTCAATACCTTGAAAATTATTCTAAATCTCACCTCTTTTGTTAATAACATAAATGTAAAATGCATTGGAACATGCGCTATATAAATACATAATTATCACCATATTCTGACTAGTAGAATTAAGTAATTTGAGTTATTAGTAATTAACCTTCCCTTTTCCCCTTCCTCTTCAGTTTGATGTTGATGGTGATGGCCTGAGAGAAGTTGTAGTGTTTACAACAGATGGAGAGATCAATTACTTCAAGTCAGATGGGACATTTCTACCAGAGAAAACAGTGCAGGTAGTAACTAGAATTATATATTGCTCCCTCCCTATCATTCTTAGCCATCATACAGTATTGAGTTGCCATCTCAAACAGGCTGACGGTTTTCACACTTGTGGATTCGCTTTGCCAAGTCTTTTCAAGCTGTTTGCTTTTAGACCAATGGATAGAGCATGAGTGGTGAGAAATTTGCAGTCACCAAATTTTACCCCAAATTGGCAATCCCAATTTATAAAGTAAGGCTGATTGGCCTGATATATGACATTACTTATTTAATCTATATATGACTCTTTTTCTTCACAAAACAAAACCAACAAAACAGAACACAACACAACAATAGAGGAAAGATCCCAACCCCTCGTTGATACAGAGTATTTTAATAAGATTCATTAATTCAATGCAAATGTTTTTAAAGCTATTTCCTACATATTTACCTATTGCCCTCTCTGTGATTTCCTTTGTCGCTTGTTACTGTTTTCAAACTTGTGTATAAAAAGGAAATGAATATATTAAATATGAGCTCAATCTCTTTCCTTCCTTCTGTGAAAAGCAAAGTGGTTAGACTGCTTGGTTTTGCAAGGTATTAAAGGTACTGCTCAGTATTTGAAGTGCAAGGCAAGCTGGATCATTACGCTGTGGGCAGTTCAGGGAACTAATGGAATTAACACAAAGGGAAACATTTTAAATGATCAGGATAATGTGTATTTTTCTATATGTGTATATTTTATGAAACATGTTAGCTATTGAGTATTAAGGTGGCTATATTGAGGAAAGCAAATTTGAATGCAAGAAAAAAACATGTAAATTACATTCACTTTGCTCAAAGCTTCCAATTCATGTTTAACAACATAAAGAAGAAAAAAAAACAAGCACACTTCAGCCTCATAAAATAAGCAAGTAGTGAAATGAAGAAAGCAGTGTGCTGCTGAACAGTTGCTCATGACAGCCCAGGGCAGAGATGCCTAGATTTACATACATGATCACATCCAATGGAATCAGATGACCGAGTAAACACTGTTTACTTCCTTTACGCTACACGTACTTCCTCAAAACAAAACTTAGATTTCAACCAAATGAATTAAGCTCTTGTATCTTCAACAACCTTTACCAAACTGATGTATTATGAAAGAGGTTGCAGAAGCAGCTTTTCAAGACTTGTTTAGTACATCAATTTCATTTATGCTGTTGAGTATACGATTGATTTGAGATATATTTCAAGTGTAATTGGTAGCTGCCTTTGATAATGTAAAGCATAAACCACCTTAAATGCCATGTTGTAACAATTTCTTATGTTGTCCCTTATACCGTAAACTTTTTCTACACATTTCCTACATGGCTTGAATATTTAGGGTACTTTGAAGTAGGGTGAAATTGATCTTGATTTTGTTTCAATGTGAGGTTGCCTAAGTAAGCTAATTTTACTCAACCTGAGTGAACGTAACACCTGAAAGAGTCAGCAAGGCCTTACTGAAGGAGGTTTGGTACATCTCTAGGGAATCGTAAGAAGTTAGTAGCTACGCCTCCATCGGATGATTCACATCTAATGATTGAAATGAGAACTGAATTGCCACTCCCTCTGAAAGATATTTCATCATAGACTATAGCTTCTAGTTCTACAGTAAGTGCATTGATGGTAACCTACATGTAAATGGCTGTATACCAAAAGGGTTGAGGGCAAAGGACTCCTTTCAGAATGACCTTCATTTTTTAACAAAATTAAATGCATTAGACGGAATATATTATAATTTGGAATATCTTTTTTTTAATGGTTCTCTGTGCAATGGTGTCATAGTATTAAAGTACTAGTAGACCCAATTGTAGTAATTGTCAAAACCCCAATTTCTCTAAACCTTCACTCGGTTGTATTACAAGAAGGTTTCTTATGTGTGTAGTGTGAATCTTTCTGCAACCTACTGAAATTCTTACAAGACTTTTTGCTGTTAATGTTTATAATGTTCTGAATATGAAAAGAAAATTAAAAATACTCACCAAACGTGTTAAAACTGAATACCTGTTTGTCATGCAATCTAAATTTCAATCAATTATTATGTACCCATTGCTTAGAAATATCTCTCTTGTCATTTGTTTATTAACATGGCTGGCAACTAATAATGTAATTAGGTGGGACAAAAATGATAACCAATTTAAGATGAACACTACCTTTAAAATGATTTTTATCTTTTTGGCCTTGTAATTGCCTGTTACAGAACATGTTTTATATTTCCAACAGTGCAATTACCTGTTTGATTATTATCTCATTAATTATGTAGGTTTAACCTTGTTATGGCTTAATTATACATGTACCTGTTTATCAAGCTTGGCACATGTCCCAATGTAATGGATACTCAATGTTGTAGGAGGGAGAAATGTAAACTCCCAACCACAATCCACTCACTAAAGAATAGAACGTATGAACACTCTCAAAAGGAATAAATGCTTTAGAGTTATAAACTACTAAAACAAATTTGAAAAATGCAAATGAGACCCGTAGGCTAAAGTGAAGATGAATAAAAATATTGTTATCTCTATAATACTTTGGTATGCTGTTGAACGTTTGTAGTTTTTTAAGTACTTTTAAATACACGTACATCAACACTTCATTGGCATTCTCCTTCACACAAGTATTAAAGTAGGAACAAACTCCAACATATTGTAAATCCTCTTGTAGACCCTTTAAAAAAATTATCAAACGTGAAGAATCAAGTCAAGACTGCCTGTAACAATTATCTAAATTTCAAGAGTCTCTTAAAGACACATTTATTTGTTTGTTAAGTTAGTACAATGTTATAACAAAACAGTTATTCTTTCTCTTTTGTTCCCCCAAGTCTGCTATTATCCCTTTTTTTTCTTCTTTTTCTGAACACATAGGGACTTCAATTTATTTTTGTGATATGGGCTATATGAGAATGGTTAATTATTAGTTTTATCTAATCTCTGTGAATGATGCTTGGATACTTTTCTACCACCCACCCATAGCCTCAGGAGACCTCTTTGATTACATTGTATCATTTTGTTATATTATCAAAATATAAGAGTAATTGATAAAGAAGATAAAATTGAGAGAAATGTATGCAAATGCCTGGTGGATATACTACGTGTAGACGCTTGAAATCCACAAACACTCCACTCAACATTGTTTCGCTTGCAATTGAATGCACAAATCTCATTCTATTGTTATATAACACACTGTCAGCAACATTTTTGAGTTTTCTATCCAAGGACAGTTTCTTGGAAGAAAGAATGTTTTTAAAGAGACAGAAGTACACTGTATGCTTATGATTGGCTGGTATATATATATTAAATATGTCTATGCCGTTTGAGAGGTCACTCTCTGTTTCTTCAGTCAACATATCACCGTAATGTAACTCTTTGCTTCATAAAGGAGAAGGGGGGGATCATTAAATCAAAAGGGCTGATCGAGCCTGACCTATAACAATGAGGATAACCAGGTTTTTTTCTATAGCTGCACTACTAAATACTCAAGCATATAGATGTACATGTACACATAAATGTAGCAGAGACTAAAGAATACCTTGAATTAGTGAAAGTATCATTATGATTATCATTATTGGTCAGATCAGCCCTTCATTAAATCCTTGAATTTGTATGCCATTGTACATGTACATTGGCTGTACTACATGTAGACTACAACAAGTCATTGAATACTTGGTATGAAAGCCACAATATTCCTTGTGGCTTTCACACCGCATTGATCCAGTATCGTTAATACAGCTGCCTTGTTGATTAATAACTTAAGCAATATCAGGCTTTTGTGGTGAACTTTTTTTCTTCTGAATTGCTCATTTTCTTGCCATACAGGATGTAAATTACAGAACTAATTCTGAACAAAAGCCAAAATTCAGTCACACCTTTTCAAAGAGTTGATCAATTTTGAATTAATACTTGTATATATATAATATGGTTGAATTCATTTCAATGATCTTAATTCAATGATAGGAAGTGTTACCTTGTATACACTTAAAATAAATATATAAACAGTTGAATTAACTTCATGCCAATTATAGCATGCACACAAATATATGCTAATTGCTATCAATATTTAACCAGCATGCAACAATCAGGAAACTGTTCTAATAAATGAAAACCACATGAACACTCAAATAGTCTACTTTCTCACAATTCCTTTTTGCTGATGAGATGTTGCCAACTCAAATTTGTAACGTTGGTATTTAAGATAAAGGGCAAACTAACATTGCTTACTATGATGCATTTATAGGGCTTTTAACCTTTTTGTTTGATGTTTAATTCCTACCAAATAAATATGTGTGGGGAAAAGGGAGTGAAGAGAAGAGCTGTGCATGTAAATTCAGTTCCTTTTCTTCAAAACTATGTAAGAAGTACATAAGTCAATGATGAATGTTAACAAAATATGAGGTATTTAGAAGAATGAACTACCAGAAGGCATAAGAAGGAATACTCTTATGAGTCTGTGACCCTTTAAAGCAGTCATCCTGTGTTTTTCACACGTTAGATTAAGTGCTAGGGGTCTTCCATAGTCATGCATCTTGCACTCGTAATGTGCCCAACCCAGGGGGTCATCCTGCATTATCACACCTTCTTATAGAGAGAGTGTGGACCCCTTGATGGTCTTGTACTAATCGTGATTCATCTAATTTCATCAAAGGAAAGGAAGATCAAACTTGCCCCTCCCTCTGGCTCTATTTTCCTTGCCTTTTTTAAAGCTAAAAATCAGCGAGGCAATCTTTCTAACAAGTTGAAATCAGTGAAAACAGAAAGGTTGTTGATATTTTTTTAATGGACAAACTTTGCAAAGTTGAGATACCCAAATGTAAAATGTTTGTAAATTAAAGATCTCAATCTTTATAGAAGCCTGTTCAAAATAAAGTTTTAAAAGGTTACAAGGTGGTTCTGAGATGACAGGGATAAAGACTTGTTCTTCATAATTAATTCATCCCTTGGGGCTTTAAATACATTTAAGAACAAATGAGCAGCCCAAAATTGCAGTAGGTTAGACAACATATTTGACAATCCTTTAATGTCTTCCTTTATGCGCAGTCTGGTCTTGCCTTTTCAATTTTCACTAGGTTTTATTTATAGAAAAAGCACCATTAACCAAAATTAATAAGTTGAAAGACAGATCTCAATAAACATCAAACCTCATTCATAGTTGAAAGAAACCTTTGATTTGTCTTACAATCAGTTTTTGGAATATATATTTCCCTTTTTCTCTACCTGAAGCAAAGGCATATTTAAAGGATGTGTGCATATACATGTAAGTGCATATTTCTCAGATTACAATATTGTAAGTACATGTATATCCAATATTCATGCATAGATACTGTGTTAAGTAAACATCTTGAATATGTGTTGTTCATGTCCGGTTAGTCGGCAAGCATGAAAACAAAATTGATACTTTCAGTCATAGTCCTGAGATTTTAGATGTTTTTGATTTCAATGGAATGTACTTTACCCCACCCCCACACTTTTTGTATTATTTAGTATTTACTCCATTAAAGAAGCAAGATGGACTAAAAAACTGCTCACATATTATTTATGAAACAACAACAAAATCAGTTGATTCACTTGCTTGTCATTTCATATTGTTACATTGGCTTTATCTTCCATGTTTATAATCCATTAATCATTTAGAAGTATGTAAGTCTATAATGAGATGGAAACTAAAACTCATCTAAATTGCTTATACGTGACCTGCTGCCATAATTACATACTTGTATCAGGGAAAGTTGGTTAAACAAGGTTCACTCTAACAAGAAGTTAAATAAATTTGTTGATTCAAGGATAACTGCATAGACTTTATTTTCCAGAATTAAAACATATACTGTATAATCATGTCATGCTAGCATACTTGTTTTAATTTATGTTCAGGAAATCCATTTTGCCAATATCATAAACTTCAGTAAATATTCTAAAGTACCCTTGCAACCTGATTTGAGATTACTTGGAAAGCCTCATGAAGAAATTTCAATGGTACTTTAAAGTCATGAGACTGCTCAATGTATAATTACATTGTGGTCTTTGTTAATAAAAATATGAAGATTGATGATCACTGCACACATTTTTAGAAACTTGAAGTGCAAACCTTATGTATTTTGTACACACTTGTAAACTTGCTACTGATTTATATTTTTTATTAAATAAACTTAACAGACAAGCACAATAATTTAGAAAGTGTTTTCATCTTCAAGATATCATCTTAAGTATTCATGTAATTAAGATATCCACTTATATAATGTGTATTTCTATTCTCATAGATCCCACCCCTCTGGGTATCCAAGGAATGGATAAATGAAGAATCCTTGATTGATACTAGTACTACAATATCTCAGTTTGTGAGAACATCGAGCGATAGAGGTTATCAGGTGAGTTAAAATCACTTCTTTTAAGTTTTCAGCTCGCTTTCCATGCTCAGAAGATCATCTTTCACAACTTTCCTTGTATATGATGTATTTGAGAATTCTGTATATATGGTACTCCTAAATGTTCATAATCTTTATTTAAGTCCATTGTATAGGAAAAGGCATTTCATTATTTTTCAAAATTAACTTGCAGTAATGTGAGATATGTTCATCATAGGATTTTGGAGTTTTCAATTTTTTTCTGAATTCAGGGACACTATTCTTGCAGTAACCAAAATGTCTCACACTGCATCCACACTGACATTTGTACTGAACATGGGGGGGGGGGGGGGGGGGTTAGGGTAGGGATCCACTTTGTATTGTAAGATTTTATTTTTATTATTCTAAAGGTAAATGGTCAAGATCGTGGTGTTGGTATAATTTTTCTTAATTCATTTTGCTGGTCTAAGGTCGAAACGTTTTTCTTCAATCTGCTTTGAATGCAGAAGATGCCACAAGTGAGGGTTGTATTTCTGGCTGGGCTAATCAAGTTTTCTCTTTAAATGGTCTATTCTCTTTTGGTAATTTTGAGATTTATCAAGTTGAATACAACCCAATCTATGTAATGTAAGCCAGGAACAATGTCATCCGTCAGATTGCACACTATTTATTTGTGATTGTGACCATTGAATCCTTTTTTTTTTTTAAAGAGTCAAACATAATTTCTTAAGTTTTTAGTGTAAATTTTACAATTTAAACTCATGTTTAAGGCTTGTGTTTTAGCCTTTATATAGATGTTTCCCAAGTTAGAAAAACATTAAAAACCCTTTATTTTATACCCCTTTGAATTTCACTAAGACCTCGCAATCCCTTTAAGAAACATGTAATTTGAGAAATCTCAACTTCAGGAATGATGTTTCTATGATATTACATTGAAAGTGCATGTCTGTACAGTATAAATAGAGTCTGTTTTCAATTAGACTCAAATCCCCTTGACATAATCTTTGTTTCACATGTTCAGAAAGGATGTAGCTGTTCAAATAGAATTCACCAGATCATGTTTATAATGTAGCTACACTGTGTAAATAGTGTGTTTGATAGAAAACAGTAATCTTACATTTCTATATCTTTTACAAAGAAAAAGTGATTCACCTTTATTCAGATTTAAATGAGTGATATACAAAGCTCAGTGTTCATGTTATAGTAATATTTCATTCAGTTTTATTCCTTCATTGTTAACCTATGAAAAGTTTAAAACTTTTTGTATAAGAGAAGCAGAGAGAGTGAAGGGAGAGAAGGGCCTCAAGGAAGTTGTGCAGGGAATTGAATAAGACCTTGCCATAAACTATTGAGTCTGCATCTATATAGCCCACTTGTTTCCTTTCTATTCTAATAATATCCAGTTGTAGTTCATTTTCAGTTATGAACAGATTCAACAGATGATTCATCCATTCTTCTACATATTCTTTAACAAATCTTGTCCAAAATATTTCAATCCCTGATATGAAATGATATGAAAAAAAAATCTTGACTCCAAGCAAATATATATAAGGAGTTCTGATTTTGATTTGTAATTTCATTGTTTAGAAGTAGGAATGTACATCACAGTAAAGTTTTATTTGTACATCTCAAAAGAAAGATTTAGAAATTGAGAATGAAATAAGGGTACTTACAAGGAATTCTGCAAAAATATAGTTCATCCAAATTTTTATATCAACAACAAATCAGATATATTAATAAATCCACTGTGCAATCCTGCACCTAGGTCTGTGTACATACCTTAAATCTCCTTTGCAGTTTCAAGTATGATATATATTGAAAATTTGATTATCGTTTTTCTTTTTCCAAAATTGAGTAAAACCTAGCATTAGCACATTATAAAGCTGCTATGAATGACCAAGTTCTATTGCATTTTTTTGGTAAATGAGTCTTGCAAAAGAACAAGGACAAGAATACTTAGTTAAGAGGATAAAGTACTACTTACCCGAGCTTGTTCCTCTTGGAAACATTCCTAGTGAGAATATATTCCTGTTTGGTTCGGCTGAACATGATCACATGTAAGCCTGTTGGCTTGGTATCAACAAGTTGCTGTGGGATGTGAAACCGTGAGTGCTTGTAATTTTATTTACCTCCTCCTGCTCTCTCTCTCTCTCTCTCTCACTCACTAACTCGCTCTCAATCACCATGTATTTCCTCCTCTTTCACTCTCTATCTCTGTGCGCAGACCAACAACTTTATCGCCTGTGACGCTCACATCCTGGCCACGCCAGCGCTTACGGACCTCGACGGAGATGGCAGAGAGGAGGAACTTGCACTTCCTGTGTCGTATTATGATCAGCTTGAGTCACCAAGGTAACTGAAAAGCTTTAATCACTTTAAGCCTTGTTTCTTTTGTTCATTCTTTCTAGCTTTTCATTTTCACATCTGAGTTTCACTGTGAACTTGAAAAAACCTGTAGCATGACCGCTTCTTAACCCTTTCTTTCTGGAGCCATATTTATTCAGACTTAACCAGCCCATGTTTTCCTTGCTACTCTTTCTAGTACACCTGTAGTCTGTAAGCCAGGATATTGTGATTGCCTTACACCAACACCGCTGGACGTCTGACGTACTTTCCTTCACCTTCAAACCCCGCTGTAAACGTGCAATCGTGTCGTTTACACCTGTACTGATTAAGTTTGTCAAGGAATTTCTGAAATGTAGAGAACTTGTAGAAAGAAAGCAATCACCCTTGCTCTTAATTAATGCTAATGGAGCACATTGGTGTAGATTTATCTTTCTTTCTTCCAGGGAGAATGAATCATAAGAGTGTAATGAAAAATTTCCCATAGAGGTTAGGGATCACTCATGGAGATCCATTAGTGACTGAAGGGCATTGACCATCCTATATTTCCTCTAATTTCCTGACATTGTTCAAGGCGTTTGAGACTCAATCCTCTCTAAATTTCTCCCCATTTCCTCAATCATCCCAGTCCTTATATAAGATAAGTTGCTAGGAAGGAGAGGATAAGTGCCAAGTCACTGACCTAATACATTTATATCCTCTCAAATTGTCTCTAAAATTGCAAGATTTACATCTTGGTGCCATATCGCCGTTTTGATTTATGGACTATCTTGTTTGTTTGTTAAATTTTTGTTTTTTGTTTAATGTTTTTGTTTGTAAAATTCCTATTACCCTTAATCTTACTTGTTCCTGTTTTACTGATCACCATGACTTTGTAGTGAAGATGATTGAGCATTGCAGACATTGAAGTGAAGGGCTTAAAGATACTGTAGGATCACATTGTATTTAGAACATATTGGTTGGTATGATATAGATATAAGTCAATAAATTCATTGTTGAAGCTAAATGGTTACCTATACATCTGGGAAGCATTGAGAAGGTTCAGCTTTATGTCTTAAAGACAAATTGTGTCGTGCAGACATGAGCAGATGATTCATACTGATAGTTAATGTTGTTGGATTAGCTTCTAGTAATGCTACTGACAGACTTTTGATTAACAGGAGTTTGTGTTCAGGAAATCAGCTAACAACTAAACCAGTTCTTCTGATGATGTATGTAGCACATTTATTGAGAACTCTGCTTTATTGTTTAGAATGCAAACAAAGAACTTGTGCGTGGAAAATGAACTGAATGTTAAAGGTACACCATTTTGAAAAATGAAACCATTGTATGTAAAATTTGATAAGCCCTAAAACTATAAAATGTAATTGGTTGTTATGACACATACTCTCCCGTCAATATCCTGCACTAGTCAATACCTATTTAAAATCCTACACCCAACCTTAAATTCAAATAGCAACCTAAACCGAATACTATAAATTTCACAAATAAACGCTGCTAGAACAAATAGAACAGTAAGAAACTATTTTATTTTACCCAGAATTCTGGGCAACAAGCAATCTCTCAATGTCTTTTTTAAAAATCAAAATTAACTATTTGAAAAAATGAATTTACAATATGTGCTACAAGTATAAAAAATAATCAGTATTGTTATTCTCATGTTTTACAATACATGACAAACAATATGATTGTCTATTGTACAATGATGGGATACAAGTCAGAAAAGTGTCATTAAAATTTTTTGTTTTCTTAACTTATGGTGAAAAAGATTTTTTCTGTTCGAAAATCAATTGTTTAGTTTGGTGGTATTAACAACAGGAAAGTTGAGAGGCCTACAGACTTTGTGAACAGTGATTTAGCAGAGTTTTAATCTACCCTATTAATCTGTCTATGTTTATACTGCCAAAATATAGTGTGCTATGAACAGTTATGAGTAGGGTAGCTTTTATAATGTTATTTTCATGAGTTGAAAAACATACTGTCTGCCTGCACATAGTTTGGCTATCCCTTCATATCACTGTTACAGCATTTCATGCAAATTCCCATGAATTAGCGTATAGTTTTTGCTATTTTTACTAGTTTCACTACACTGAGTAGGGTCTTCTGCATGCATCGAACCATTTAAACATTAGCAATCATTACAGTGCAGATCAACTGCAGAGGTGTGAACAAGGTCTTGTGAGTATGTTCATTTCAGTATGGCCTTGTTCACACCTTGGCCTATTACCACAGTCTGCAATACTTGAATCCTGTTCAACTTCGACACCTCCGTGATACAGCAGAAAATGTGATCACCTGATGTTACAGTATTGCTAAATATAAACATATGTGTAGATCATATGATCCACGGTCCTAAGACCAGATCAGACTTGGGCTTGTCAGCTGTCCAATCATTTGATGATCAATATGTAACAATGACCTAATTAGTACAAATCCAAACAAGCTATTTTATACCATAATTTGTTTTCTTTAAAGGGATCGTTTAACAATGTTAAATCTGAGATGCACAGCCCTACGTGTTATCAGTGTCTGTGATATGGTGTTATATTGAAGCCCTAAAAAATTGCGCTTCATAACGATCAAGAAGTGCCTCAAAAAAGTAAAAACCTTTGAGTGACCGGTTTTACCATAATCATTTTCCCCCAATAGACTGAAGTGTTATGAAAATCGTTCGGCAAACGCAAAATTTGATTTCGATTTTCAATCAAAATTAATTGATAATCAGACAGGCGATCGGCTTGTAAAAATCATGGGGTTCTTGACTGACCTAAAGGTTTATAATTATCATTGCAGCATGAGCTAAAGCAAGGATTTTTTTTAAAGGATCTAAGACAAGCCCCCCTTTCTTTTAAAAGTCAGTTTAAAAGTGATATGTTCTACAATGGTGGAAATACAATAATACATGCTTTCAGTTTAATTCACAACTGCTATCAAATAATGCTGAGATTTTGTTAAAAGATCCTGAGATAAAGGTACCGGTAATATCCAGCCATGTACCTGTAGGTATATTTAGAAAGTCGAAGGAGTGCCTTCCTGAGTATTGTGCCGACTCTTAATATTTTCAAAGATTTTGATGGAAAACTTTGATCATGAACATACATGTACGTTTGCAAACAGATGAATATTATTTTGTTGCATGTCAGAGATTCCTGATGTTGCTGTTTTCTAGGTATCCCGCTTGTTTGCCAGGATGTGAGGAAAGAGTAAAGGAAACTGCGTACTTCCTGCATATACAGTTCATTGATTATACCATATTTCAAGAATTTTATCATGTGTCTAATTGTTTACTGATAGATTGCATATCTTGATTTCCCCTATGCAATATACTTTTACTCCTATAATTTTTTTCTTTTGCCACTCGGCAGGTGTATAATTATTTAAATGAAGAAGAAAAATAGGGAAACAAAAGTTTTTTAGGGGAGGGGGGGTCAGTTTCTGCCTTTCTATTATGCAGTCTAACATTTTGTACCCCTTTCATCTCAATTTAATATTTTGATTTTTCTCAATTGTACAGTTAGTCTACAGAGGTTTTCTAAAGAACTGTTTTGGAAACGCCCCCATCTCAAAAAGTGAAATTGAAGTTCTTATTACCAATCCTGTGAAAGAATAGGTTTTGACTAATACGTGGTGATACAAATTTTGCCTACCAATTGATATATTTAGTAAATTATCATATCTATTCAGACTGGATAGATATTGCGTAGTCCCATATACATATTTCTGTGTACAGTGCTTGTAACTTTACCAAGACTGGGCCAAATTTCTTATCATGTTGATGATTCTAGAACCTTGCGGTACACACCAATACTTATATGCTAGATGATTAACCTTTTCTGATCAATTCCACAACGTTTCTTTCACAATGCAATTGCATGGCCAGAACTGTTCTTTACTTTTAAAGCCTTCTGTGTCTGCATAGCACTTCCCAGCATACTTACTGCTCACATTTCTGTTAAATTTAAATTCTTTGCCTGTCTAACTTGACAATTACAGTTTTAAATTGCACATTTTTGTACACTAGACTGGCTTGATAGTGCCAGGATCTTTTGATGGCCCTTTTTTCATGTAAAATTGGGGATAATGTATTATCATCATGCAATTATTTGCAACGTTAGCAAATCTTGACATTTTGCTAAATATTTGAAGTTTGTATACTTTCTTACACTCAATTTCCTGATTTTACACAGTCCTGTTTCAGGTCTACACCAAAGAAAAGTGTACAGCTATTTTGCAATTCAGCTTAACTTTAAAAACACTTCTAACCTGTCTGTAGGAGAAGTTCAACGCTGTTAACTTCTTTCTGACCTGACTTTGTATTTATTTATCACACTGTCCATCTAGAGTGTAAACAGGAACCTATGGGGGTCTTCTGGTAATGTACTCATATCCTGAATGCCAACTTGGTAGCGATAATGGTTGGAAAAACATGTTATTGATCAGGGAATATCTGTCAGGGCGCATGTACTTCCTTACCCCAGGAGTAGCTAGCTGTGATGAGGTTGATAAGTAATACTGGTATGGACAATTTTAAAAGTTTAAGCAGTGAGATGCAAGTCATGGGGAAAATAATTGGATGGCCCTGAGGTTAAGATATGGAAATACTGGATAAGTTTTGCTGAAATATTTGAGGAGTCAGAGAAGATGCCAGTACTATTTGCATGTTGAGTTTATTATTCCTGTGTTGGCCAAATAACAACCTTCATTATTATCCATCTGTTCTAATTCTAAGAATAGCAATGAAAACAGGCATACTAAATCTTTTCGTCTTGCACTCATTGGAAGTAAATCGCAAGAATGAAGAGAAAGCCCAAAATCAGACAAAATAAGCGGAGGTTAAGGAACAAAGCATGCACACAATGACAAGCTTTCATTTGCTGTCTGTTCATTCTTACCTCGATGAGCGCAAGACGAAAAAGCTTTAGTATGTCTGTTTTTATTGCTATGCTTTGATAGATTTTGTAGTACCAATCATCTCTTTATTCTAATTCTAGTGTAAGCTTATGAAAATTGGTCAAAGTTGGGGAAGAAGATTGGTTAAAATTTCAAAACTTATCAGTTGGGTTAAGGGTAATGAGGTGACTTAACAAATGTCATGTTTTCTGTTTATCATTATGATTATTATGTTTATACTCTAAGTCACTCTATAAGAATAATATTTAAGTCTAGTTGTGGTATTATAGGAAGCTTGTGTCTTGTGTTCATCCTGCTTTGGGGAGGTTGTAATTTACATTATATATTTATTTATGTTTGATTCATATTTTGTCTTACAATTTGCTTGTCTGTTCTAATTAATATTAGGTCTAAGCTAAAAAGTTAACAGAAAACTTAAGAGTTAACTCTCCTCCCAATGATCAGCACCCCACCCCCCCCCCACACACACACACATAGTGTATTATTACTTAATTGTGTCATGATGTGTTTAAAAAAAGATTTATACCGGTATATATATATATATATATATATTCTCTATTGTTTTCAGTTCTTGTAAAGTGTGTGTTCTAGCATTTGGCCCCCTATCACTTTACTTCCTTATTTTAAAGTTTGTTTGGCCTTTTGGTACTGAGAAATTATGAAACAAGTGTCTGGTTTTATACATATGCTCCTGCTTTTCAAAGAAACACAGAATGGGATTTGTTTAAAGCCCTTCTGGATCTAAAACAGGCATAATGATATTAAGGATATTTCCTTGTCATGAAGAGGGTCAATAAAAACTTTCATATTTATACCGGTATCCCTTTTTTTAAACCTAGGGATGAAGAATCGGGTGAAAATATCCAGGACATAGTGGTTGGTGGATTGGTCATTCTCAACTTGACCAGTGGTCATCTTATCAAGGAAGTACCACTGCATTTATCAAAGGTCAGTAAGGTAATTATTTTGTTATCTCAGACATGGATAGTTTCATTTCTGCTTCACTGTTTCCTCCCATTTATTCTACATTAAACAATAAAGCTCTCATCAAATGGTGAATGTAATCTTCATGATATGTTTTTAAAAATGTTAATGTTAATTTTAGAGACTAATATATAAAACATCTACATGATATGTTAAAAAAAGTTTAACATTGATTTTTAATATACATGTGTATAAGTAAAGACATCTATTTAACTTTTGATGGTGATGGAAATTGTTTGGAATGTAGATATTACCAGTAATGATCATGATGATAGAAACATGATGACACAAAAAGGGAGTCTGTACTTTACTGTTAACTGTAGTGTAGTTAATACTAGACAAGCACTTTCCATCCTTTGAGAGTCCTTCATGTAAAAAGTGCATAGCCTGGCCTGGGACATTGAACCTCTATGATTGCTATCTATCCTTGGCAGCAATCTGCTCCATCCCCAGCCTATCTGCTCTATCCTCCAACGGTGGTTGACCTGGATGGCCATCATGGCCCACCTGAGGTCATCATAGCAACAGCATCGGGTCTCCTGCATGCTATGGACAGCATGGGTCGGGCAAGATCAGGCTTCCCTGTACGTCTCGAGGGAGGGGCCATCACTGGACAGGTCAGTTGTCTAATGGTCATTTGGTTGAGTATTTCATAATTTTTATGAAAATAGCATGGGCATATTATTTTGTGTATAAATTCAGTTTTGGTATTGCAATAGAGAAAATGTTAGAATGCCTAATGTTTGCATAATGATGAATCATTGTTTTGAGTCAAATATTTATTTTGGGTATAATATGATAATTGTAATGAGCTTATATCATAAAAGCTGTATAAGTATTGGCCTCAAACTGGGTGAAGCAATTGGCTAGAAATGAATTTTTAGAAGAGCTACATCCAGGAATACCCTCCTCAGACTACTAGCACCCCTGACAGCTACCAATTGGGACATCCCTGGATAGTTTTCCAAGGAATAATCATGATGACTCTCCATAATGGGGCCAATAGGCTGGGGGTAATTTCCCTAATTTCCCAATCTTTTCCTTTATTCATGAATTTAATATGATTTTGATAACAGATCACTGTAGACGATCTGGATAATGATGGCAACCTTGAGATGATTGTCCTCCAGACCTCTGGTGATGTCAGCTGCTTCAGTAACCATGGTAACAAGATGTGGTCTTCCAAGGTATCGGGAGGTTCGATGCCAGGATCCAGACTGGCTGATCTTGATGACGATGGTGTGATGGATGTTATCATACCTACCAGGGATGGGTAGGAACATTTTAGACACATTTTTCAGTAGTGGTAGAAAAGAGACACAGGTTTAATAGCTAACAATGCACTTGGCATAGCTTTAGAGATTATCTCCTGTCTGCATCAGCAACAACTTTATTGCGGTTGCTGATGCCTTGATATATGAATATCTATATCCCATCTACCTATTAAATGTACATCAATCTTTTGCACAATCTTTGTAATTTTTTTAAGACTTCAACAAGCTTATCTGAATTTCTACATTAGATCAATGTAATTTGTGTTACACAACTAAATTGCATGAAGTACCCTAATGCAACTCAATGAATTCAAGGAATGCCTACACAAATTCAATGCACAACTTTCTTAGGAGCAAGTAGTACAACAGTCAAAGCCCTTAAGTATTAGAAAACAGCTTTATACATAAATTTACAATATTCACTTATTCATATGTATAACCTCTTTTTCTTTAAAGAGAAAACATTATCAATCTTATTTCATTCGATTAAGTATCTTAATTGTTGGAAAAAATCACTAATAACATGTTTTTAGCCAAAAATTAAACACTGTGTATCTATGTGTGTATCTTGTGTTTTGTTTGTCTTATCCTTTACAGGAATGTGTGGGCTTTATCAGGCAAGACTGGTACCCGTTTACCCCACTGGCCTGTGCACGTAGGAAGCAGGCTTGTATCGAATGTTGTGATCACCAGTCTCATTAATTCATCTCAAGGTCCATCTGTTGTAAGTATTAAGATTTAGTTCCATTCTCGATGGACATGTTTGATTTGAATGATAGGATGATAATTTTCATGAGATGAAATATCAAAGTGGGAATTTTCGAAAGAAAAACCATTCACTGTTTTGCTTCTTGAATTTTTTAAACAGGAGTCATTTGATAAAGTTGATCACAATTTATTATCTAAATAGTGTTTAAGAAAACACATGTATTTGAAGAGAATTTGGGAGAACGAAAAGTTTTTCTTTAATAAACTACAATTTTTTTAAAGAATTGGTTAGATCGGGCCATTTACAATAGTGTTAAACTAATGCATATTATTATTGAAATATCACACAGATACCAAACAGTAGAAACTTGTTGTGTATCAGGAGAAAGTGCTTATAAACAGGAATTGATAGGTTATCATAATAGAAAGGAAAAAAAAGTTTGTGAACAAATACAATGAGTCTGGCCTCGCATAATGGTCATGTGATTGCATTGTGTGTTTTTCTCTTCTTCTCTTTTTAGTCTCTCCTAGTCTTTGTGATATATTGACCTGTGTGAGTCTAAAGGACATTGCTTTTAGCTGTTAACGATTTGATGAATTGATTGTTTTCTCAAATGCCTAGTGATTTCTCTCCAGCAAAAGTTGAATTTTAGTATATTTTCTGAATATTGGACATTTATACAAAGTATGTAAGATTACTAAATTGACGTATCAGTAAAAGAAATGAAATTTAGTCTTCAAAGATGAAAACAAGCAGATCTTGATTTCCTCAAAGGATTTCGATAACATTCATACATCAATAGTTCCTTTCCGCAGAATGCAAATATGCAGAACATTAATTATGTTCACATGGAAAGCCAAGTCGGCACACAGAAGTAGAAGAGACGAAGAAGGAAATAAGAGATTAGTGGTTTTAGTGAATTGCATATATCATAAAATGATGTGGTTTGAACATTAAGTTCTTTGTTTGTTACCATGTCTCCCTGTGGTTTCGACGGTATGAGTTGTTGTGCCTGTACTCTACAGGTGAAAAGGTGAGAGAAAAAATATCTGTATTCCAGGGAATTAGACCTTGAAGGAAGCTCAAGTTTCTGTAACTTCATCAGATATATGCATCCTGTTTAGTACACAATGTCCTTTGTGTATGACATCCTCAGATAAACATCCTGTGAAATATAACATGAATGATTTTATGGTTGGATTGTATTAAAGTTTTCAGGGCTCGGATGATAATTGATTTAAAGGGTGATCATTATGAGAAATCACTGAAGCGTATATTCAAAACTTAGTTGAATATTATAACGGATATTGTAAAAAGTCATTTCAAAGAAGCTAGAATGGAATGAATCAATCATCATTGTTAGCCTTAGATCAAATGATTCTCAAAAACAATTTACACTTCATTCACAACTTTCAAACAACAATGTGGTTATGAGAGCTAGAGCAAATACAAGGAACAAAATATGATTCATATATTCTTTTGATTCTCTTTGTATGCAGATAACCACAGGGTATGATGGCAACCTGTATATTATATCATCATCGTCAGACAAGGGTAAGGAGCAGGGTCCGTGTATTGAGGCCATTGAACTTGGTGAAAGTTCATTGACCCCTGTACACATGGCAGACATGATCCCATCCATGCCTGGTGTGGAGATGATAGCTGCCACCACCCATGGGAGTATCATGCTCATGTCTACCCAGAAGCAGGAGATGGAGAGTGTGGAGCTGGAAGACATAAGATGGATGGATGCAACAAATGATAAGCAGTTTGCATACAAACAAGCAAAGGTATATATGGGTTGATGTTTTTGTTTTCTTTGTTGTAGCTTACCTTTTTCATCTACTATTACTTCCCAGACCATGTTTAACCAAATTTGTATTAATGTCAATTTGGTAATCAATACTTGGGATGGGTGAAATCTTTAAAGGGGAAGTCCACCCTGAAATTAAGTTAGTTCTAATAGGAGTAGAAAAATGAGAGAAACAAGTCAGTGAAAGTTTGAGCAAATTCCGATTAAAAATAAGGAAGTTAGATTTTTGAAGTTGTGATCAATCAAACACAAATTGGCAACTCTATGACGTATCATGCGAGCTCAACTTCCATTTGCTCAGTACTAAAAAAATCTAAAATTTTCATTTTCCCTCAAGAAAAATTTCAACCATACATGCACCCTAAATATAATAATTGCAAATATGTTTCTATACTCCCCCTGCAAGGAACAAATATATATTCCGTCATCAACGAAGAAAACATGATTTTATGGAATATTATGCACAAAGCAAATGAAGGAGAGCTCGTATAATAAGTCACAGAGTTGCCAATTTGTATTTGATTGATCACAACTTCAATAATTCATAACTTTCTTATTTTCATTCAGAATTTGCTCAAACTTTCACTCACCTGATTTTCTTATTATTCTGCCTCTATCAAAGCAAACTTATTTTGGGGGTGGACTTTCCCTTTAAGAAGCACAACATTTTCTGAAATATGTGGTATCATGCAATAGACAGTGTCATTTGATAAACAAATTAAGTGAGTCATAATTGAGAAAGTTGCTTTCTTGAAGTACAGATGGAGTTGCACACTACAGGGTGTACATCAATTTTCAACTCATTTAGAGCTGAATAGACGTTTACTAACATATTCAAAGTTTATGCATACATTTCAAATGAAGGTTGTTCTTTACAACCTGAAGGCTTATCCAACACTTGCCCAACATGGCAACAAATATATGCAGACTGGATTCCAAGTATTCTAGTTCATTCATTAATAACAGGTTAATGGAATAACTCATCAGTAGGTCCCCAGGAAAGAAACATAAATTTGAATATGTTGGTAAACTGGTCATTTAAGAGGGAAGTGGGTCACACAACTTCTGAGGTATGTGCTATTGACCTGTTGTTTATTACACAGGAAATACCTCACTGAAATGTACACAAGCAGGGTGTGTAACATACTAGCTTTGTGATATGTACATCACCTGAATGAAGTAATGTACATGAAATCAACAAGGGAGTAATTTCTTGGCTAAAATTTGTAAACAAGGAGGAATGTGTAATGTACATGAATGATTGAGCTTGTAGAAATTAAAAGGTCTTTGCATTTCTTGACTTGATAAGCAGATGAGCTCACTGGGGTAATGAATGATGTCATTTTGTTGTCCTTTTTTGCCTATTGATAAAAAAATTGTTATCCGTATTTCTCAAACTTCTTGTATTTTGTAGTATGGTGTGTTTGTGAGGAGAGAGACTAGGCAGAGATCTTACATCAGTGGTACAAGTTTCACCATAGACCTTCACATAGAAGATGAAAACAGGCCCAGTGGAGGACATTCATATGTCATCCAGGTAATTTCACATTTTATTACAAAAATATTGACACATGTTCTTTTGTCGTATTAAAGGTAAATTTTTATAATTCGTCTCTAAGGGGCCATTACAAAATATCAATCTGAAGTGTTTGTGACAATGAGGTAACCAATACATACATACAGAACATGAAATACTTTCTTCAAATGAAATTTGACAGACATTTTAGCGTTTTTCTCACAGTTGCACCTATGAGAATACTTTTTGAAAAAACAAAGATGCACAAAAAAATGTCAATTGATTCTTATAACATACTAACCAGTAATTGTTTCCTTATGATTCTCCAGCATGCTTTTTCAAGCAGTTGTATGAATATTTTAACCCCCTAATTGAAAAGTGTAGGTAGTACATTTATACCACTATTCGTCTAGTCAACAGAAATGATTTACAGGTAGATTGAATGCCTAATTTTGATTGTAATAGAAAAATATATGATTGTTTGTAAATTTTGGAGATTAGGATGAATTTTGGTTTTGTGATAATGTTGTAACCATGAAATCCCTTGCATTTTTAGGTTTTTGCTGGTTCAATCTGCCTTCAATCTCCTGTGACCTATTCTCAACCTGGTCTGTATTCCCTTCAAGTAGCAACACCCAATCATCCAATCACAGTCCTCGTTGAGGTTCACATGACCAACCAACATGGTCAGATCTTTGTCGACTCATTCCCAGTAAGGTAGGGTTATCATTTTGAAAAATGCCAGTGGAGCGGTAGAATGTTTTCAATTTGCAAATAAATCATTATGTAATTTGTATGTTTTATCTTCACATAGATGAATTTTCTTTGTTGTCATGCTAATTCACCCCATTTCGAAATGAAATGAGGTTCGAAAGAGTTAAATGGATTCAATTATTTTCTAAATTTTGTTTTCCAGATTACATTTTGTTCCCTGATTAAACCATGGAAAGTCAATTTTAATAATATCAATTGGAAGGAGATACCAAGTCATTAATTTGAATTTGATGTATATAAGAAAAGAAATACCACTACTTATATCCAAGAAGTCAACCCGATAAAAAATAATTCATCATTCTTTCTACTTGTAAAGCAAATGAAGTGAGATAGATTTACATTAGGTAGTAAGAGAATGAGTGGGAACTAAAAATACCATTTTCAAGTGTTCTAATGATAGTATAGAGATATTGAGAATAGCTCACTTGCTTTTTTCATTATTGAAGATTATTAACGTGACAGAGTGGAACAAATTGGAGTTTCTGTTATCTTGCATCATGCATATTAATATCTTTCTCTCTTTCCTCATCACTCTCACACCGCTCTTCTCTTTATTGATATCAGTACTGATTTTGTTTCCCTTCTTCTTTGCAACTTCCCTCCATCTTAGTTTCAACACCAAGGTTACTGATGACATCCAATGGATGCTTGTCATACCAACCATTGCCATGGCAATCCTCCTCCTTGTCCTCTATGGCTATCCAGAGGTAGATCTTCTTCCCACATCTCATACTTCTAAGGAGAGGTAACGATGTGTCTACCTTGTCATCTTCTATGGAATTGGGTAGATGAAAGAAGAAGTTTCAGACCACATTTATCGTTAGTTCACATGTTGTGGTAAAACATGGCTATTTAACATACATATTTATCTTGTGTTATAAGAAACAAAGAGTTAAATTACATTATGATTTAAGTACAATTACAAAACCCATAGAAAACAGCAACATATGTGAACAAGACGAAAGTATGGAAAACTCTGTATACCTACCAATGAAGGACAATAAACTAGCAGCATCAAACAGTACTTGTGACATCTTCCTAATACTGATTACTGTCAGCATTACTTGGTGAAAGTTTATCACAGATGGTGCTTTTTCAGAACAAATGAAACTTTCTAGTAATTTTTTTTTTCTGTGGAGGAGGTGCCTGAAAATACATTTTTTTCAATATGTGTTATGTTATCATTTTTTTTGTGTGTGTGTTATCTAGTAGATGTTTTGTTCCAGTGGAAATACAATTTTCGAGCTGGATATGATACTGGTATTATAAAGTACTTTACTAGAATTTCAGCCACAGTCAATAAGTTTGTTGTTACGTGTGTTTCATACCAAAATGTATGATTTGTAATCTCATCATTTTATAAATAAATTTATGAGTGAGAAAATGTATCCACTGAAAGGTAATTAAACGTTTATACAAAGTCAGCCTGAATGGAAGCAGAATAATCAAACTAGTGAAAATACTAGATAAATTGCACAAACAGTAAGGAAGTACCAGTAGTGAAGAAACTGATAAAATTCTTGTCTCAGTCTGTCTCTATTCTTATCTTCAAAAATGCATGGGGAGTCAATAGCAATGTGCAAATATTGTTTATTTTATTATTATCTGAATCTTGAGATCCCTAATGATCTAGTAATCTCCCATTGTCAATTGTGCAATGATGTGCATTGCTGTAGTGGTACTACTCCTCCATAAAAACGAATTACATATAACCTTTTGGGGTACATTTGATTGTGGTTTTGTGAACATGGGTTGTTCATAATGTATATTGAAATATGTCTGTTCTATGCATGTAGAAATTGAGAAAAGTGATTTGTTAGATTTGTTCAAAGAAAACAATGAATGGAGCAGTACTCCCTACTGTGACATCACACAAACAGCAAACAAAACAAAAAAAACAATACACAAATGAAGCAGATTAAACTAAACTAGCTGCTGACTTCCATGATCTTCTACCAAGAATATTGATGCAAGATAATAATGGTTATTCCAAGTTTCTGATCTTGATAAACAGTATTCAACATAATGTCATTATAATATCACGAAAGAAATTTGATTCTTAGATTTTAGTAAGTTTTTTTTTGTGTTATTCATCATGTGAGTCATTTGCAAATCTTATAAAAAAAAAATACTGAATAGACAGTTAACATTGAAAGTAGAATATTTATAGAGAGCTAATTATGATGTTAGCCAAAATTTTGATTGGCAATGGAGTAGCATAATGTAGTTTATGATAGATATATTCTGAGACTGTTTGGAACCATGTGACATAAGCCCCATCATGATTGTGTGATTTCACTTTTGTTTAATTAATCTATCAAAACCTCAATGTATATTTCAATTCCAAATCATGATTATATTTGCTGACGATGTCTTTGTGTTGAATGTCTTTTTTAGAAATTAAATAGTGAGAAATTATTGTAAAAATGTCATGTTGTCAACAAACTATGAAGTTTCAAGTTTTGCAATTGTTGTAAAAATATCTGAAATTTCTCTTCCATTCAGAGCCCAAGATGAGTACTAATGTCCTCCACTTTTGCTGTTCTGTTATGATACTGATATATAAATAGTATAATGAGGTGTACTTCATATTTGTATGTATGGTACTTGTGGAAGGAAGATATGCAATATAATATATTTTGTAATTTTTCTTCATATAATTAAATATTTGTGAATGTTTTGTATATGCTGTTGAGTGCAATATATGTATTTGTATTTTGTATTAAAGTTTGCCATTGGATGGTAATAGACTTGAAGAACATACCATCAAGCTTGTTTTATATTTGAAGTCATTTTATAGACACATGAATTATATACACATATAAAAACTAATGAACAAACAAATATAGCTATATCCAATTTATAGAATTAAATCTGGTCAAATTCAGAAAATAATTTCTTGATATGGATCATAGTTTCTGCTCTTGTAAATTAACAAAAAACAGGAAAAAATTCATGAAGAGCTGGGATTGATTATATCAGTCGTAAAGGATGTAATGTTACACTCTCTTAAATATGTTATGCAGATTGAAATTATGAAATGAATGATCACTAGTCGTTTCTGATCGCAGTGCACTAAATTCAATTGAATGCAGCTCTTTTGTTTCTTAAGTATGCAGGGAGGTAGATTAACTGAGTGCACGTTTCAATTAGTGTATAAAGGAACACTAGTTTCATTACTGCAGTTGCGCCATCTATAGTCATATGTTGTACCATCCATTTTCATTTTGGCGATTCCACTGATCTCTGCGAAAAAGCGAAAAGAGATCATGGCTGAAAGAGTTTCTAGACCAGGGCCAAGGTGGCAGTATTCTGTTCTAGGCTACGTACAGATCTGATCCAATTTCATTTACGGCTAATATTGTGCTAAGGGAATCGATAGAATGTTAGAGAATCCATACAAATATGTTATTATTTAATTAGTAATTTTAAATCAAAATCGAGATTGCAAAACAAATAACGTAAAATAAAACAAACAAATTAAAATGTTGAGCTTCTTTTATTATAACGTTCAGGAAGAGTGGGAAAGATTAAAAGGTTAGATAAATAGGATAAATAAAAACGACAGTGATCAAAATTATGTTTTAACAAATGTTATAATCCCGGATTGAAATGGAACTAAGTTGTAATAATGTCTAATTTTATAGTTGAGTAACACCGAGAAGCGTGAATAACGATGGGTAAACTTCTTCACAGGGACTAACTTAAAATACTGCCATCTCTTGACCAAATGTTTTCATTGCTGCCCAAAGCAAGAAAAACTGAAATTTTTGACGTGCATGACATTTTTTCAAGTGATTCAGATTCGATAAAGTTTCATGCCGCGATAGAAATGAAACACTTCTGACATATTCCTGAATATTTGTGATTCTCAAAATGTTCCTGCTGCAGAAGTCTATCGTTCCCTGTATGAGTTTCCTCTTGGTTTAAACACAATATTCTTCGTTTTGAAAGGGCAGTTATTATGAATATTATTCTGATAAGCCGACTTTATATCATCTCCAACACCCGTCCACCCATTGATCGCTGTGATTATTTTATATGTCCATTTCATTTTCTACATTAATTTTATATCTCTTGTAAACCATCGAAGATTATTGCAATAGTGAATGACCGACTCTGTAAAAATGTAATATAATGTTAATCATACCAAACATGCATCCCGTCTAACCGATTTTTATTCGTTTTCCAGATATCGTGCCATAATCCATTGTCCTTCTGAATCAAAAGGGTGCTTTAAAATGGAAACCTTCTGAAAAGAATCGTAATCTTGCTAAGATTAAACAAGAAAATTAAAAAGAAAAATCTGAATCATTGGAATCCGCCTTTCAAGGATTTGGGTGCTGTCAAACTTCAAAAAACTTCAAGCAGATGTATTCTTCAAAGGTAAATGGTTGTGATGAATACGCGATGCCATATTGGTGCAATTGCGGTGAATGTTTGAATAACGAATAACCAAAGAATCTTTTGTTAACGAGCAAATATTTCTTGAAAAGAAACATAGCACAGGGGATAATCATTCAGAAAAAAGACGATGTTTAAAAAGGCTCTTATTCCTTTCTCTTCTTTTACGTATGCGTTGACTTACCTTTTATTTTTCTGTCACTTTGATGGGTATTCAAAAGAGATGAAAACGTTAGAAGAAGATTGAAGATGTAACTACCTGTCGCAAATCTGCTTGGATTACAAGGTGGTAATCTATACGACAAAAGAACTTGGGGTCTCGATGTGCAAAGAAGCTAGATCTCGCCATTTTGTGCACTCTTCCCAAAACCTGCTAAGACCTGAACAATCTCTTATAATCATGAATACTCCTCGAGGTTTGATCTTTAAATCCTCTTTAACACTGTCACGAGGATCTCCTTTCTTTGTTCATAGAATGTCATCTTGGAACAGAAACGGGAGGAGAGACAAAAGAATTGGCTGGTCCAGTGTAACACCTTTTTCGCTTTTCCTCATCGTGCCCACGCGCTCGCTGCTAGCTGCATTCACGAAAAAAGCTTTATAATTAGAAATAGAAAAAAACTCGAAACAATGAGATGGTCAAATGTTTCTCATTATCACTCTCCTCAAGCCTACGTTGTGTTTCTGAAGGTGTTTAGCGTGTATTACCCCTCCCCTCCCAGTGATGATAATGAATTAGAGATTAAACAAAATCGACCACAACCATCCAGCACACCTGGTCTCAACAGAGAAAAGCGCCCATCTTACCCTCTCTCAATACATGATACTTTGTCTTATTTTAATTATTTAAAAAAAATTATTTATCGATTGATTCATTACTTGATTGATTACTTGATTGATTGATTTATGTTTTAATTGATTTACTTATTTATTTATTTATATATTTATTTATTTTATTTATTTATTTTATTTATTTATTTATTGTATTTAATTGATTTACTTATTTATTTATTTATATATTTATTTATTTTATCTATTTATTTATATATTTATTTATTTATTTATTTATTCGTTTGGTTGTTTGGTTTGTTGTTTATTCTGGTACTTTTTCCCTCTTAATGCTCGAAGACTTTAATCCGTTAATAAAAGATAATGTATAGATGAAGACTTCAAACAACTAACGCTATCATAAATAATTATGTTAAAGCGAGGATTATTTTTACATAATCTTGTGTAGTTTTCATCTGGGGTTTCTTAAACAAAAATTAATGACGTTCTCTACATTCTCAAAAATGATCAATAGTTTGGATGGAGGATAATGAGGATGTGTCACCTCAATTGTGAAACAAATACGGGCACGAGTGGAAGAAGAAGATGAAAATGTCGGAAATCTTTAAAGCTGGTTTTCTTCATAGAAACTTAGGGAATTAGAATAAGAAGACTTAAGTATTAGGAACCAAGCTGGTGGTTAACAAAATATGGACAACTTGCTTCCATAATAAAGAAGATTTCAGTATTAAGGGCCTAACTGGTGGTTGATACAATTTGAACAACTTCCAAAAAGAAGATTTTAGTATTATGAACTTAACTGGTCGCTTACACAATCTGAACAACTTCTATAATAAAGAAGATTTCGGTTTTATGAACTGAGCTGGTCGCTTACACAATGCGAACTAGTTTCCTTGGACATTGCAAAGAAGAGATGTATAATTAGACTATCTTTCATCCATTTTCTAGATATTTCATATAATATTGTCTGAACAGCTGGTAGGCAGGTGTAGAGTGGTGTACACGCCGATCGTACTGGCCGAGCGATGACAGCGTCATGGGGGTCTAGGAATGAAGATTATTCGACAGCGCGATGGAAGATGTAAATTTCGCTTGAAGTTAAGTAAACCAATAGCATGAAGGAAGAGGGGAATGTTTGGTTTTGAGACTGATTGTGGATTGGTTATACGCAGAAATTGGGGTGGGGTGGGAGGGGTGGAGAGAGAGAGAGAGATAGAGAGAGGTAGAGAGAGAGAGAGAGAGAAAGGAGGAGTGTATATACATACAATAGAGGCATCTGGAAAACAAGACAACTAGGTAAGGGGGTTGTTGGGTTGGCGATTTTAAAAAAAGGTAATCATGAAAATCTCGAGAAGGATTATTTGCTATCTCATTATGATAAAATTAATATTGTAACGAAATTATAAAATTCTTGTTGAAGAATTTCATAGTATAGACTTTGATAAATATATGAGTTCATATTTGTTTACAATTCGGCCAACTTGATTGTCATTTTAGTATGATATTAATTTATATGTAATTGGTTTATTTGAAATTGATACAAAATAACATCCTAAACAATTTTTATTCAAGTTAAAATTAAATTAAATGACAACTGAGGTCAAAAGTAATGTAATAGTTATTTCCATACAAAAAGAGAATAATATTTTAATTTTCATAAAATTGTAACGACTCTGTTTACATATTTAGTACTTGTGAAGGGCGTTATGGACAACATGAGCAGAAACGAAATTATGTAATAATGTTGAGCTGTTATTCCTTTATTTTGCCAATCTCTTCTCGAACTATTGCATAAGGTGATTATTAGCACGAAACAATCATGAGTAGTTACGGTAGTTAACGAATAATATACTCATCATTTAAACACGGAGTTTTATCACCACTTCATATTACTCAGTACGAATAGATTTTAAATATTTCATAACAATTGTCTTATTAATTATCCCTAAATGCTCATAGGAACTAATTCCTTCCATTTTATACACTTATAATGACTACTAAAGCAAAGGCTTAACAACAAATAAGTTGTTGTATTGTCCTTTGCGATCGACCCCAAAATCTTAAAATCTACGGTCGGCTTTTTATTTTTTTTATTTTTTTTTTGTTACCGTTTTTTAGAAGAAAAAAATGTTTAATTAAATTAAAAAATATGTATTAAAGCATTCAACACTAAAAAATATAAGCCCCAAAAGGAACATAAACCGACCGACCGACCCAAGGGCTGGCACCTGAAGGGCAATACATCATCTTTTTTTTTTTTTGGTAGAACCAGAATAAATATTTTAAAAAAATAAGATTGAAAAGTGATCGAAAAAACAAAAGGGAGAAGAAAAGAAATGAGGAAAAATAAAAGTGAATAAGAGATAATTAGACAAGGAAGTTAAGGAAATAGACCGGGAAGAAGAATCTGTAATAAATCTTGGGATGGGATATTGGACATCTCCAAGTAGATTGAGGTGTTCAGACTGGATGATGTTTGCTACTACTCAAGTTAGTATGAGATCCAGCCCTACTTCTTGTTTATTTTCTCTTCACCGTGTCAGTATTTTCATCACTTCTCAACGCT